AACATTGGAGAGAAGAAAGTCTGTGTCTGTCGAGTTAAATAGATTTATCGTAATGGGATAGAAGTATATATGTATATATATCGTCGCAAGATGTTCATAAGTTATCACGAATTGATTAAATGTAAGTTTAAATGTAATATTTATTTTGATTGGATAATATAGATGTAATTTAATTCTTACGATTGATAAGTATCAATTTCGTTATTTAAAATTAGAATGTTTACTCGCTATGTCGAGTGCCTGAAAATTTATACTGGTAAATTTGATCTGTGACGAGATACGTTTGTATATAAGTGCCTTGAGATATATATATATATACATATTTGTAGTATGATACTTTTCTTGGTATATGTAGGTATAAGGTATTATAGGTGTAAGTAGACCTTGACCAAATAATAGATACGAATCTTTTATGAGTACATTAATCGAGAGATTATATGGCTCTTGCAATTTTATTCTTTTCATAACAATGAATTCGAGCGAAAGCATTATTTTTTTTTCCAGCATTTAATTTAATTTTAATTCGATTTCTTCAAATGTCTTGAAATTTTCTAATAAAAATTAATTACTCTTTATTCGAAAATTTTTCAGTTACAAAAAATTAAATATCTATACTATTTTAAAAATCGACTATTCTTTCGTATCAGACTCGATTCGAGTGAAAGCATTGTTTTTTTCCAGCATTTAATACTAATTTAATTTTAATTCGATTTCTTCAAATGTCTTGAAATTTTCTAATAAAAATTAATTACTCTTTATTCGAAAATTTTTCAGTTACAAAAAATTAAATATCTATACTATTTTAAAAATCGACTATTCTTTCGTATCAGACTCGATCCCATTATTAAATGGATACCAATATAGAATGTAAGAGGACGAAACGTCTCTTGAAAAAAGAATTCATGACATAGACTTCCCTTCTCAATCATTCACTCTCTCTTTCCAATGTATTTCGGGTCCGTCTTTGTCCCTCTCGAAACATGAATTCTCCTTTCCGACGACGTCCCCTTTCTCCGTCCAGAAGACCGGAAGGAAGGAGCGGGGCACGGCGAAAGGACGACTCACCCTGGAAAATGAAAGTCGATTCTGCGTGTAATTGCAACGATGCAGAAACACGATTGCGTTGTAGAAACATTCGTCGCCTGGAAAAAGTGCTACGATGATGGACGATTCAAAGAAAGCTTGGTTTGTGGAATGTTGGAAAATTACAGTATTCCGCATTTACGAGGAGAGTGCAAGATCGAGGTCACTGATTTACTCGTTTTTAGAACTGGTTAATTTCTGTCTAAAAAAAAAAAAAACTTATAAGATATTTAATATTTTTTTTTAGATTAATCATCTCGTGATTAATCACACGAGATTAGTGTCTACTTATTTTTTTAGGAATTTTTCTTTTTTGAAGAAGCAAGAAAAAATGATTATAAGTAAAATAGAAAACAATTCAATTTTTCTAAAAAAAAAAAATATAAAAAATTTATTTTCCCTATTTTGATATTGTTAACGATAATTAGAAATCGATTTATCAAAATAGTTTACTGATGGAGGACGTCAATTAAATATGGTGAAAATTGCGTCTATTATCCGAGAAATACCATACGTTCAAAAATTCGTATAATTGTTTCGCTTACTAAAAGAGACTGGTATAATTTAACTCTGCATTCGAGCTAGCTATTCGGCTGTTGTTCGTCCACGTTCGTCGGTAATGACCGTGAATCGTATGTATTTGTTGCCTCGTATGAATGTCTTTCCAGAGTCCTGCCATTTTCAAGAGTGCATCATTGAATCTTGATCTCAACACGACAATTGGAATGGAATCGAGACAAAAGGGTCCTCTCATCGTTAAAAACGATCGATTATTATGGTAGAAAGCAATCGCCGTTCATTTTTAACCTAGATATATATATATCTATGGTGTCGCCATCTTTCATAACTCTTTTTGCAAGGTTTTAGTTCAGTTTTTCGCAGCTGGGCGCGCTTTAACGAGAACTGTGCGTAATTATTTCGTAACCATCTTTCGTGGTTATGTAAATCGATGTATACGGGATTTAGTTTCGATTTTCTATCGAAGTTCTATATAACTAGATGATAGTCGTAAAATTGACTTTCGATTACGACGATGCAATCTATTCGAGAGAACTAAATCGGCGAGCAGGAAGAAAACAAGTAGAATCTTATGGTAAACGGAAAACGCTTGATCGAATAAAAAAATTGTTACGTTTTTATTACGCCATGTTAGAAAAAAATAGTCTGAACTATTTAGTCTGAAAATGTTTTGCGTGATGTAGAATAGGTATTACTTCAAAATGTCGATTATAGCGAGATTATGTGAGATATATTTTTTTATTTAAATTCATCTCAAATTAGGAAAAGTAAAAAAGTATTTACAAATATCATGTCATTTTTGCTGAATAACAATTCTCAAAATAAAATTATTGCTATTTATTTGGATTATAAATTAATTTACATAAAAAACTTATAAATTTGAAAAGATATAAATTTTATTTTAAATAGAATAATAAATTCAATAATTATCTCATAGCTTCAAAATGACACATAAAAAAAATATCAATTATTAATAACTGTATTAAAAAAGGTAAATAATAAAAATTAGCTTATTAATAAAAAATACTTAATCCATTTCTATAGTTCAGAACGCGTCAGCGAGATTTATTGAGTTGATCGTTTTCTGGAACGAAACGCGCGCTTCGTAACGTCGGATGTATTACGTGACCGAGACCGTTAAAAAGGGTCGAGAGCGGCCCGTGAAACCTGACCACGCGATTTTCGGTGAAAGTGAAAGCAATTCGATGAACAGGTCGAAACCGGTGAAACCAAAGTTTACTTCCTTAGCAGCGAAGACGATGATGTCAGGCGCGGTCGATTCTTGGCGTGGCCGTCACGCAACCCTTGCAAATGGTTTGTGCACTTGGATCATAAATGCAAAACACGAACAAGGTTTCGCAGTTTCAGGGTCGAAATCTATGCTATTAAACGAGTTCAATGCACGAACGTACGAGCAAAACGATTTTCAATTTCTCGTAATCAAGTATTGGGAAATGCTAAATCTCTGACCGGTGAAAGTTTTGAAGATATATTCCAAACAAATTCGATTTTACCAAACGAACATAAAGTTGTCGCGTTACGTAACTATTCATTTGTTTTTTTTACGACGTATAATATATTTTTTGATTACGAGCGAGGTAAAAGTAACTAAATTATATCGACCCATTTCATATTGTTTTTGTAGCTTAATTTTAAAAAAGAGACGGATTTTTTGGATAATTTAAATAACCAGTAATGTATTTTATTACACGTAACTTCCGAAGTCTCGACACGAGCCGATCATCTTTCGGTCATCTTCGGCTAATTTACCGATGATAGCCGAAAACGTCCGAAATACGATTCGGCATTCTCAGTATTTTATTTCAACAACGAACCATTTTTATTTGTATACTGGTTCTCGAAACAAAATCTATTTGCCGGTTTTCTAAAAAAGATTAAACGAGCATCTAAGATCACGTAAGAAAAAGAAACCTGTTTAACCTAAATGGATTCATGGATCCAGAGACCATGCATAACGAATCACACATAACTCGTAACAAAAGTTACGAAACTGTTTCATCGATATATGTAATGTCGTTTCATTTCGTCTCGTTTCATTCTCGTGATTACAACGCGTGGCAGTCTCCAATTGAATTGAAATTTTTTGCGGTAATTTCGGCAAAAATGTTCATAATTGTTAAGCCTTTCGAGACGAATTTTTTTAAATAATGAACATGATAATATAAGAATAAATTAAAGAATTAAAAATATGCAAAGATTCTATGTTTAAATAGATTTCATTAAATTGATATTAAGAAAATAAACAAAACGAAATTACGTAGGAATACATTTTTCTCGAAAGAATTAAGAAAAGAAATCCAGGAAAGAAATATCAATTTTTTGTATGTACGTGCACTTGGTATCCGCATTTCGATCGCGTTATCTATTCTTGACATAAGTTTCATATTGCGCGTAAAAAGTTATTCTAACCTCTTTTTTTTTTTTGCCTTGTCTCGGTTTATCGATCTATCCTCTGTTTTGTAACGCGTTTGTTCTCTCGAGTTTTTTCAAGATTGCGGCAAGTTGTTGTACTTCGTGCCGGTATGCTTAGATTTTATCTTAAACTATTAAGTGAGAATCGAAACAATAGCGATGTCTTTCATCAACAAATAGCTGCTAATAGGATTATCTAATCGTTACTTAATGTATGATCTCGATGAAAACAATTTTGTATTTATATCGTATAAAAACTATTCGAGTACTTCGACATCTTATGAATTTAATGATGCAACGAGGCAGCCAAGAATCTTCGGTACAAAAGCCAATCATCTTCGGTCATGTTCGGTCACCTTCGGTCATTTTCGACTAATTTACCGACGTTAGTCGAAAATAACCGAAACACGATTGACTCTTGGCGCCATTCTTAGTTATCAATCGTCGTTAGTCTTACGATATTAATTATAAGATACATATTCGAATAATTTTTATTCTATCGATTATTTTAATGTAATATCTGAATTTTTTATTTTAATGGTCCTTAATAAAAATGATATATATGATAAATATATTGGTAAAAAATAATTTAATAAATATTTTCACGGAATGTCAAGTATTTAATTTTGTGATTGAATATAAAGGAACTTGTTTTAGGATATCTACAATACTTTGTCTAATGCGAGTAAAAGTATGAAATAGACGGAGAATAATTAAATAAAAGAAGCTTATCCGGTTTTAGTTCCTGGAGAGAGTCGTTTGGCAGAAATTGCTATTTATAATTTATATAAAACAATATATAAAATATATCGGTAGATATAAAAACCATTAAATACCATTAGATCTTATCCTAACATCGCACTTTCATAATAATTCGCTCCAATTTGTTAATCCTGCATTCGTAACGCAACGAATGTTCATCCATCGAAAGAAAGGCCCCGCTCGTCACTTTCCGATTTCTATCCGATTTCTATGCATGTCGTAACGACCCGTATTCTCACGTTTCTCTCGCGAAATTCGATTAAAGGTCCACGGAGATACTGTCTGTCCAATCATTTAAACTATACACACGTATATCCACAATCCAATAGAAAAAAATTTCACTTTAATTCAATTTAATTAACATCGATAAAAAGAACGCGCTTTCTCCTTCGAATTCAAAATACACGTATTATTAATTCAGACAAATTTTTATCAGATTTGGTGGCGTTCGTAAACAATATCTTAGTATAGCCTCGAGGCTATCTTCCTCCTCTTCCTCAATCGAGAACAGTCGAGAAGTTGCCACAGTCGCTGTTGACGTTCTTCAGAATGGCCCCACCGAAAATACGCACGGGCGTTCTGGTCCACGAGATCAGCATCAACGATCCGCCTATGAACGGGCTTCCCCTGCCGATCTCGCAGCGTACATACGACAATTTCACCAATTGCAGCCCGAGAGATTGCTTTTTCCACTTGGATACCTCCATCCTCCCCTGGATCACGCGTGGAGAGAAGATCATCAATCCCGTTCCGAGCGGCAAAGACGTCGCGTCCTCGGCGTATCGTCGTCGTCCCCCAAGTTGATCAGAAGTTGGCGGGAGCGTGTACGGTGCCCTCGTTCTCGTTGGAATCCTATAATCGATGCCGCGTTGCATCAGTTTCGTCGGAATCCTGGCAAAAAGCGGAACCGTGGCGTAACTCGAGGCGGAGCGGGACACTTGACTCGAATCGTGGGAGGCCTCCTCGAATCGTTGCCGGTAGTCGCCCGTGTCCAGGAGGGTGTCGAAAGCGGAGGCCAAGAGCAGATTGAAGCCGAGGATCGATCCCTCGATCCCGTCGTCGAGCCCCTCGTCGAAGTCGGTGTACTCTTGACCCACCACGATGTCTCCTCCGCTTGGGATCGTGTGATCTATCGTCTGAAATCGATCGATCGATTTAACGTTGATTTATTTTTTTTTATTTTTTTTTTTTTTTTTCTAAAATACAACGAACCTCGTAAGAGCGACCTTGAGCCCAAAGCTGACCATTGATCCAAAGGCCGTAACGACCAGCCTGATTCTCCCAGCTCACGCACAAATGGTACCATCGATTCTCTAGAATGTCGACAGTTGCGGCGAATACATTATTGCCCCCGATCTCGAGGTGGACACTCCTCCCGTGCGGCGCTATCCACGATCGTACAAGCCGTTCTCGCTCGTTCTCTGTTGGAGAAGCGAACGCAACAGCAGGTTTAAAACTGTTTGTTCAAAAGGAATGTAGGTAAAGTAGGCGATACGCGACCCGATACGAAACGCTTATTTGTAGCGGTGAAAATACTTTTCATGGCTACTTTCTTCGCGTTTGTAATAAAAGTGTACGCCTTTGAAGGATATAATCACGAGGCGTTTACACTTTTACGTTACGTGATGTTCTTACGGTAGAAATTATTTACTTACTCGAGTACGAAAATATCGGATGAGGATGGGTCAGATCGTAGGATTCCATCCACAGGCAGAAGGTGAATTCGGTGAATTTTGGTACGGGTAACTCCCAGCGTAGAAACTGATGATGAGAAGAGTACGAGAATGGATTATTTTTTATTTTAGGATTAATTAAGTTTTCACAATTGAGGTGGATTTTTAACGAATTCGAATTCCATTTTTGCGACGCGCGCCTAATCAATCTCGATTAAGTATACGGGATTAAGTAATGCGAGACTGTTAAAGGTGTAACTGGTGGAATGGATTAGTTCTACGTTCTTGAATAATCGATAATGACGAGGGCGATGCACGGATACGCCAAAAATAGATACTCGGAGAAAATAGATTCATTACCAAGTTAGGGGATTTTCGAGGATTTTGCACATATCTAAAAACCCTATTTTATTATTTGACTAAAAAAAACGAAGAACGTGGATAGAATTATGAATTATCTCGTCGATGATAATTAGGTAATTTCTCACCTGAATGTATCCTTTCTGAGTGAGTTCCACCTTGTGCATAGGAGTTCCATGTAGCTTCTTTTCCGCAAATGTTGATTTGCCCCAGCAAAGAATGGTTAGACACAGCAAAATCAAACGAGCAGGATTGATCGTACGTTTGTGAATAATATTCGATAATTTTTCCATCTTGATTCGTTCATCCCTATCCTATTTCTTTTTCTATATTTTTTTCTTGATAAATTTTCGAATCTGGCAAATAATATTTCCTTTAATTTCCTTTCGGATGGAAAGTGGAATTCCGTTTTGCCATGCGTTGAAACTCGAGAAGGAGAAACGATGCCGGTGCGGCGAACAGTCGACGGGAGTAAAGAACACTAAACAAGGCTGGTGGCAAAGTGGGCGAGCACGGCCTCGTAAGCAGGATTGGTAAAGAGGGAGGAGACTTGCCACTTGACGAATCGTTTGATTTTGATTTGAAGTAATTTTTGAAGATTGCCTCTTCACAAGTTCCGATGTGTTATTCATTCTTATATAGTTAACAAGAATTCAATTGTTCGACGATACGATCGAGAAAAAATCGATGTTAGTTCGTATTCTGGAAAAAAAAAAAAGAATTGATCGAACATGTAATTAGAATTTGTAACGGAATTTAAGATTAATTTGCCAATTCGCCACTCTTCCAATCATTGATCAAACGTATGTAGAATGAAAATCATTTTCGTTCGATTGTAGAAGTTAATTGTGGTTATGTTTTGATCTATGGCCACTGTTTGCCATAGTTCAACACTGCTCGGGATTGTTCGGGATTGTTCGGAATTAGTCGGGTACATTCGTGGCTATATATCCGAAAAGTTATCTCCAATAATTGACTAGTGTTACTTGACACCGGTTTAGAATCATTATTGTGCATGTGACGTTAAATAGAGAGTCAGAATAAGGTAAAATAAAATAGAGAATATTTATAAACTTAATAATAATTGAAAAAATAGAAAATTTGTTTTTTTCTTGTTTTGGCAATTTAATAATAATTAAATAATAATATTAAATATTATTGTAGAAATCATAAATAACTTCGACTTTTGCGACTATAAATGAATAATATAAGAAAGCGTAGAGAATAGCCTGAAGTTCCTATATCTCGTATATTATAACGAATTCATGATTATATATCTAGATATTTCTATTCGATTTGATAGTTGAGTGATAATTACGAAACTTTTTTTTAAATGAAACATAAGTGTTGGATATTTTAACAAAATTTACGAGAAGAAGTAGAAAATTTCGAAATCTTACTGATATTTTTTTTGATCTTGACAAGCGTAATGATAGAAATTTACAAGGCTTTCAACGCAATTTGTTATAAAAGTATTTAAGAAATGCGCATGCTTAAATTTTTTTAAAATCTTTATGTAATTTCTTCTCGTTGCATGGAACATTATTTCTACGAGGGGATCTACTCGCGATGTGAAAATCCTCGAGTCTTTTTATGATTCGTAAAATCAGCATGAAATCGACGTCGCGTCACCGCAAACCGTGCCTGAATATAAAACGTAATATCTGAATTCGCCTTGATCTGTATCATTTTCATTGCCACTAACATGAAACGACATCGTAACTCGTGCGTTCTCCTCCTTTCTTTTTCTTTTTTCATACGTTTTCTCTCGAGCCACGTTTCTATAAATCAAATTTCAAATAAAAAAAAACATGCTCGAAAAATCGTTATTCGCTTAAATTTTTATATACAGTGCTTTCTAATATTCGTTACATGTATATAAGTATATATTCTGAAACTGAGTAAATACATTAACACATTACTTATCTTTTATCGAAACAACAAACAATTGTAACAAGAATTAAAATTTTTAATAATTTCACTTAATAAATATGTATCATTACCGTTTCGTTTTTAATTGCAATTTATAGCACATACGTTTAGATTGTAGATAAATAACGCGAGAAACGATTTATGCATAATCTTATGCACACATTTTAACCTAACCTAATCTAATCTGGTTGCATCACAACTATCTTAAATTTTAAATCTTAAAAGAATGTGACTTAAAATATTTTACCCAGAAAATTAAATGATAATTTGTATAAGTGAAATTACTTTTACAAATTATCTTAAATTTATTATCAAACATGATAAATATCAAATTTATACGATAGTTTAAGATTCGTAAAAAAGGAAAATAAGAAAACTTCAATGACATTACTATTTTCGTTTCAGACGGCGAAGAACTCGACTTCCGGGAATAGCGGATACTACGTCGGAGGAAGCAGCACTCTGCCACGAGGAGGACAACTAATGAGGGCGTACAGTCCGGCGGCGTCGTCTGTGGTCGGAGGACCAAACGCGACGCCGACACAACCGAAACCTCTCGCCACTCCAGGTACACGAATATCCGCGATAATTGTGACACGTTTATAGAGGCGATTACGTAAGTTTCACGAGGGTGGGTTTGATATTTGGCGTTGTTTCGGCCGATAAAACAATGATGCAAATGATTTCGAGTCTCGCGCGCCAAATAATTGCTTTCACGCCTTGTACTTGTCACCTTGTATCCCATGCTTGCGCCATATTCTAGCTTCGGCCGACTCAGTCGGTAATGCATCCGTTCGTCTTTGCAACAATCCTTTTTCGTATCCTCGAAATGTTTGAAAGTAAATGTAGACAAAATGTATGACAAAAAGAATCAGATTTTGAGCAATATGTATTAACACGTACATTCAAGTATATACAAGTATTCTAGTCTGTGTAATTTTTATTAAATATATGTATATTTATGTCCGGGTGTTATTTCATATTTATAGGTTATCCACAAATTATGTCATGATGTATGACAAGGCAAGTGTAACAATAAGACTATTATTAAGCTATATATACTAATATTTTATAGTATAAATGATTTTTTAATAGGATATAAAGATTTAGGTAATTATATTTAAACATATATTTGTATTTCAATTTGTGTAATTTTTAAAACATGAATATTAATTTATAATGCAGAAATATGATTTTATAAATTTTGGAGAATGTATAAATAATATAATTAAAATACTGCCTCTGCTATTAAATATTTACTCAATTAATTCTCTGTTTTGATATAAAATATCAAATTATATTTTTTTTTGAATGGTAACGATAAAAGTAACAATATTATTTCCCTTTTTTGGCGTTAAATCATAATTTTTCTGACAAAATTTTAATATCCATATGTTTTAAAAATTATACGAATTAAAATGCTAAAAATTACACAGAATTCAATACTGAATATATTTAATCCTCGGAATAGGTATGATTGAATAATAATCTTACAAAATCCACATTTTAAACATTTACATTTTTCATTATTCTTAATCTCTTGTCATTTTACTTATTGAATGAACTTATTTTCAGTCTGTGTTATATTCCAAAACTACTACCAGCTATCATTCTACAAGTATTAATCTTCGTAATCCTAAATCATTTTTGATCCGGTCTGGTGTTAAACCATAATCGGATTAAGTCAATTTAGATCTACTAATAGATATAGATGATCTTCTACGTACTTCATTATCCACATTCCGAGGATTGATACACACGAAACAAGGACTTCTGATAGATTCCTCTGTGCTCGCCATGCATATTACATTCTCCGCACGCTGTGATGACTCTTTTCGATCAAATATCGACTACCTATACATAACATCAACGCATATATATCCTTCGCTTGTTTAAATATTAACAAATAACAATGCTCGATCGTTCCCCATTCGATCCAACGAGTATCGCATTTATCTCTCGTACTCGTTTGAATCGTTTCGCATAAAGCACGGCCCGCAAGCTTTGAATATCCTTCCCTTCCTCAAGGGAATGGAAGCACGAATCCTTTGTGTGTGATATACGCGTGTGCCGTCCGTTCGATCGGCGATCACGGGAGGTTGTCTCGATTCCGCGATTTGCGTTCGTCGACTCGAGACTTTGTCGAGAACCGATCGTCGTTGATGAAGAACGATCGACGACGGTCCGTTTCGCGTCTTTGCTATGACGCGCTGGAAGAGTGCATATAAAGGGAATTTACATTAAGGGCAAGATGACGAATTGCTTGAAATTTCATGCTCGCAATTTCTGAAAAGAAGATTTTATTATATATGTTCGTTTATTAATATAAAAAAAAAAATTAAGATATGGAAATTAAGATCTATAAATGATAGAATGTATACAATGATTTTATAATATTCTCTCCCTATAAATCTTTATTTCACAGTTCCTATTATCACATCCTAAACACTGACAAATCTTGTAGGCACCACATACACGCACACAAACACAAAGATTATAAGTCTAATATACGTCATATCTCTGTGACACGCCTAAATTAATCTTAAATTAATATTACAGATGATTACACACTGTTCTTTCCTATTATCGTCATCTTAATATACCTGACCAACTTCTAATTGTTTCCAAAAATAAACGAGAATCGCGAACACTTCTATCATGATAGAAAAATCGTGCACTTTTGCCAAGCGAATTAGCAAGGAATGAATTCGGGGAGAAACGCGACGTGCACCGGATCAGCTGGGTACATTGGTTTTTGTTTGGTTTTCCGGATGGTTGGATAGGTGGTGGCGGGGTGCCGCCGGCCAAGCCGCTTCGCAGCTACCAGTGTGGTAAGAGTCCCCTTGGAAGCCTGGGGGGCTCGGCTCGCTTCTCTAGAGACAGCTCGGTCTCCCTCTATAGTATAGCAGGTCAGTAGTATCCTTAAAACAACTCCCCTCTCCCCCCCTTCTTCGGAAACCTCGATCCTCGATCGCGATTTTCTCTGTCCGATTCGATTTTATCCAACGGCGTGGTGGCTCGTTCGAAGGTCGAAACTGGAGGGGAAAAAAAAAAAAAAAAAAAAAAGAAAAAAGGAGGTCGAGGATTTCCGTTATGGGTCATTGGAAACACACGCGTACTATTCGTGCGCTCGAATTCGTGCGCGAAAGTAGAAAGAAGAAGACGAGATTCTGGCGAGAGAGAAAGGATTCGAGCGCGGTGAAACTCGCGAGCATAAAACCGAGAGGCGAGGTTATATACTTACATATCTACGAGGAAAGTTTGATTATGGAGGCGGTTTGGTCGTAACGGAACGGCTTCGAAAGGAAGAAAGATCCTGGAATTGGCTTTTCGAGATTCGGTCGAACGAGACGCGACCCTTGAAAGACTCAAAGTATTTTGTAATGTAATACGTACGGTCCGTCCAGAGATATACCGAGGTCGTAAAATCGGTCGAGCGGAAAAGTACGAATTTAGCCGATGATTGCCGAAAGTCGTACATTACGGGAAGTATAGCAGCGTGTTCGAGTTTCATATAGGATTGATTCATATAGAATAAGTTAAAAAGAAAAATAAATTATATTCTTTGAAATATTTGAAATATTGGCGATAAATGGAAAAGATTAAATATATCACTCGATAATTTTTCTATTTTATTGGTTAAGTAGAAACTTTGAAAATTATATCAAAAACGTTTTGAAATTTATTAACTCGATTTAATTAAATTAATGCGACAAATAACTTCCCTATTTCTCTGGACGAACATAACCTCCCTCATGTGGCATACAATATCTAAAGTAGAGCATTGCCGTCAAACCTGATGTCGTGTCCGCTCCCACTGTCATGTCACCGTAAAATTCGTAGGAATTTTGATATCCCGTAAGAAGCACGCTCGGAACGTACATTTTGTATTACCATCGACCCCTATTTGATCGATCATTCATTCTCCTCTCGTGTCGCGACATTTTTAGCCCTGACAAGGACTAAAAATTTCTCTCCATATACGGAAAAAATGATGCGCAGGCAATTGTCATCTATATCCTTGCGCTAATCTTTGCGATTCTGCAGATCGATTGCACGGGGAAAGCGGTTATATGAGCAGTCCCGAAAGAGGTGGAGGAGTTGGCTCTGGAACGGGAAGATATCCACCCGGCCCCTACAGCGCCGGAAGCAGCTACGAGGATCCGTATTATTCGCAATATTCGGGAACCGTGACACCTGTCATTGATGAGGAAGCCAGGTAACCGGAGTTTCACAATATTTTTTTAGTTGTTTCGTCATCTCGCTTCATTGGTAGTTTTGATTTCAATCATCTAAATTTTTCTTCATCATTTTCATATAAGATGAATTGTGTTCTAATATAGAATATTTATTTTTATGCACATATTTTATCTATTTGTAAAATTATTATCAAACGAATTACAGTTTATTTCCATTAAATTAAGTAGTAATAATATATAACTGGTCATACATCTGGATATAAACGGCTATCTGACTTCGGGTCTGTTCGGTAATAATCGGGCGTAATCGACTAAAGAGATCTTCCGATCTTACCCGATCTTACCCGAACATTTCCGAGTCCATAATACAGTCCCTAATATTGCGATATTTTATATTAAAACAATTCATCTTATGCATAGAAATTATATATAAACTTTGTGTATACAAATAAGATTAAAAAGAAAAGAATCACAACGCGTGCGAAAGGATAGACAATTCGTGACTCGAAGAGAAAAATCGTTGTCGCGAATGATTTGTGGATGGCTGATAGCGCGGATACGTATATCTCTGTTGTGGGTGGTGCAGCGATACGGAACTGTTGGAGGAATCGTACAGCCTTTACGGTGTGAAACCGCCAGGCCGTCCACCGTCCGGTCCTCCGCGATCTCCGTTTCCTCCAGGGGCACCACCACCTTTGCCACCTGGTAGTCAGAGCTACGACGCTACTCGGTACTGAGCTACCTTCTCTAATTTTCGATAGAGTCGCGACGTATATAAAATGTACATAGACGAGTCCGGATTCCGCGTTCAGCCCTTTGGATCGGAATCCAGGGTCTGATCGTGGCCGGTCGCATTTATTTAATGTTATGTATCGTCTGGTTACGAATGCGCTTGTGTATGCGTCCTCGTCGTCGTTCTCGTCGTCGTCATCGTCGTCTATAGATATATCACGACTACCGTTCCAAGGGAGAAGGAAGGAAACGATATTCGAATCTATCACGCCAGAACGGAGGATAGCGAAAGAGTAACGACTATGGAAAGTGAAAAGTGTGCTAGCTTCCCTCATCTCCCTTAGCCTCGGTTATTTATACTCGTTCACTGTCCGTTCGTGCTTGTGTGGATAATATTCCACGATATCCCGCGTTTCGAGTTCATCGATCGACATTCTCGTCGATTCCATTAAGCCGGGGAAGCTTGCTCGCTTTGAAACAAATGGTACATTAGTGTCTAGATATATGGCCACGAATTTGTCCATTTATGCGACCACAAATTGTTCCCATCTTCCTCGTATTATAATGATTTAATTACTATTGGATTACTGAAATATAAAGAAAAATATAATTTCTTTTTTTTATATTTTATCATGATAATATTGTTTTAATTTAAGATTATTAAAATTTTTACACGATTGTATTTAAATTGATTTTAAGTTAAATAAGTTAAATGATTTTCTCGGTTTACCTGTTTTATCTGGATTTTCTTGTTTTTCTCCTTTTTATTCTTATTGGTGCATGCGATAACAGCGCGAATCAAATAATAGCGATCAATTCGTGGAAATGGATGTTACCGTATCTCCGTGCTCGGTTTCGTTGAAAAATACGAATTCTCCCCGGAACGGGTGTTGTTCGTTCGGTGCATGTATATAGTGTATACTCGAGGCATGCATGGAAACAGATAAGCTGCGTTCAATGATGGAACGCAGAATTCTCCGGTCGAAATTCGAGGCGATCGACTTTCCTTAAAACTTCAAATTTTCTCAAATAAACGTGTATGCTGGCGTATCTGACGGAAAGGACAATTATTTGGGGAAAATTGGCGTCTCTTTCGTGATACATGGTATTGTGGATCATACGGAATGTAGCATGCCGACTAGCGGTCGTAGAAAGAATGTGTATCGAGCGCTTTTGTGTATAGCGTTCTAGCGATGTAGGCTTTAGAAGTAATCATCGCGGGTTATGCGCAACGATTTCTTGCACGCGACTCTGATTAACGTCAATTGATATTTTTATATGTATAAGCATACCATATGCATCCTGTGGAACGCTTTTTTGGAAAGATACTACTACGTTCGATCTTAGACCTAGAATTTGTTTCCTTCGATCTTTGGTTCCGCCATTTAATGGGAACCGAAAATATTATTCGTGTTAACATCGATTAACCCGATATTTGCTTGTTCGTTGCTCTAGGATAAGGGTAGAACACATGGAAAGACAGTTGGCCAACCTGACAGGACTAGTGCAGAAAGCTCTCACTCATGCACCGCACACGAGTCCATCGCCGCGTGATTACTTGCAAGTTCCCGCGGGACGTGATCCTTACGCGAGAGGGCCAGGTACGTTATCGCTCGATCCCTGTTTTACCGACCTTTCTCTCCACTGTTCGCTCCAACATCCGCGCGTAATATATATATTTTTTTTTTCTCGTTAAGACGCGTTACATCTCCGGTTTCTCTTTTATCTGCGAAAGGAACGTTGTTTCTTGGTTTTTTCGCGTAGTTTTTTTTTCTTTTTTTGTTTCTTTCCATCGGTATCCTTCAATCCATTTTTCTCTTCCCGTTTATTTTCTCAGTCTCTTGCGTTTTCGCCTTCCGATTCGTCTCGACGAGAAATAAATCGCCTTTCTATCTATCATTACGTGTCTCGTCGATACGAACCATCGCATTATTTCTTTTTCGATTCGATCTTTCGTCGCACTTAGAAACATTAGAAGCGTTAGCTCGTTTCGTTGAACGGATTTATTCTGCGACGCTTTACCGCCTCTCCCGTACTCTCTCTCTCTCTTTCTCTTTCTCTGTCTGCGTGAATGTTCATCCATCCTTCCCTTCTTCAGCTTTTCTTCGATCGTTCGCCGCGTTCTCTTCGACTTCCTCTTTCTAAATATCGTGTTAGACGATAAAAACCAACTGGATTCGATTTTTTATATCGAAGAAAGCGGAACAGGCATCCGTTAGGGGGCTGTCTGCGAAGCTACACTTTGATTAGATGTAAAGATAGGTTTTTACACCACGATTTATGCGATGGCAGTGGTACGGTGTATCTGCATCGAATCTGCGTTGAATTTTTTATAATATTTTTCATGAATATCGGGTTGAACAATGGAACAAGGATGGCTAATGGTAATAAAAAAGACTGATGCAATTGTTACTACTGCTACGTGTAACGCGGTGTTAAAAGTTTCCTGAAACCCTGCTGTACAACTGCTTTGTTATTCCGACTGACGCACACACCAGGCGCCGGGGACGAGTTCGACAAACATTCTAGCTCCAGCTCTGCCTCATTGCCAGGTGTGTCTTCTTCATCTTCTTCTATCTTCTATTTTTTTTTTTCCTTCGAATCACTGTAACCGCTCTATACATAATATTTTATATTATACTTAACTAATATGTTATTTATTATTCTTATTGTTACTGTTTATTCTTATTCTTATTATTCTTAATATTATTATTATTATTATGATTATTAATATTATATATTACTATTTACTATTACTATTATATATACTATTATTTACTATTACTATTTATATATAAATTTTATAATAGTGCCCTACGTTTAACCAGTATAATTAAAACGGTTCTCCTTTGTAAAATTCAAGTGTCTCAACCTGCCGTTACAGATGACTCGTACTTAAGGACTGACGTAAAACCACCAAAGTTAGGCAAAGGTGCGGTTCACAAGATATACACGTTTCTCCTTATTATACCCGTGCACCATATATATTGTCGCCTTTTTTTTGCAGTAATCTCAACGGCTATCGAGCACTGCACGCGCTTTCTCTCTCTCTCTTTTCTTTCTCCCATCCCTCGTCTCGCCTACTTTCCATCTTTGCTTCGTTCGTTTCTCGCATCCTCTACAAGCACAATGCGCACATTTTTCTATTGGCATCGAACTTTCCTTACTTTCGTCGCTATATCGTTATATCAGCCGACTGCGATTCACCTCCGCATTGAAAAAAATCCTCAACCCGTATCGGTTTCTCCGTTCGAGACATTTCCATCCGCTTTCGACCGATCTTATAATTTTACAGGAAACGGATTCGAACCGGTTTCCTTTTCAATCAAGATTTTGCGCTTTACACTTTCTTATTGATGCACGAACATCGAGGTGAACATCTACGCTCACTTTCGATTCCGCCTCGTTATTAGCACGTATTAGTAATATTCGGATTTGTGGTCATAAATTCGTCTTTTATACGACAAGGAAGCTATCGCCATCAATTTTACTACTCTACTACTTCTCTCTTCTCTCTTTTCTTAGTCATGTGATCTTTTATGAAATCATATTGACCAATTAGAAATCCAGTTCTCTGGATATGCGGCCACGGATTGGTGCACAATCCCGAATAGTACCGAATACTGCCGAACGATGGCCACACATCCGAACGTTACCGGTATTTTCGTTCGAAATATTATCGCGCGCACGCTCTTCCGCTATTAATCATAACCTATCATTGGCACGAATTCATAAGAAACATTCTCTGATCATCCTCTATTCCAGACAAGTCGGTGTCGTTTGAAAAATCAGTGTCCTTCAGTGATGAGCCTCCAGACATGAATTCTCCCAAGCAACATTCCCCGCAGCACGCAGGTAACGGTTATCTCATAATGTGTAAATTATTATTATTACGATTATTACGTTTCTTCTTTTTTTTCTTTTTCTCTTTTTTTTTTTTTTTTTTTTTTTTTTTTTTTTTTTTTTTTTTTTTTTTGCTAAGCACGCTCCTCTCGGAGAATCGAATTACGTTCCATTTGAAACGAGAGAGAAAAAATGGTGGAGCAGCGATTTCCACCGAAGAATTATCATCGAAATTATACGAAAGTCCAGCTGGGTCAATGACGTTCTTAACGTAATTACCGCCGAGTCTTTCGAGTCGAGGAAAGAAAATCGTGGACAATCTGTTCTTTCTCATTATTCGGTCTTGCCCGTAATTGCAAATCGATCGGCGATGGTTTTGCAAACTGCACGGATATCACGAGCCATTGAACGACCAGGTTAAGAAGCGTTGTTTTTCTCGATGCAGCTCCACCGTTTTTTCATTCTCGAGCATCGAAGGATGAGATGCGCTCGAAAGATTAATCGAGAGATCGAAATCCTTGACGGAGTACTTTATACTAACGCAATAATCTCTAACGACTTCTCGTGCAATGCCTTCCATCACGACTAGCGGACACAAAACCAACGAAACCGGCGATCAAATCCTCCACGTTGCCGAGGATGTCTTCGCAAGGTAAAGCTGTTTCGTGTTTTTTTTACGCTTCCACACCCCTTTTGTGTCTGTCTCGTTGCCTCCATTTGTTCTTTGCGATTAACCTTAGTCGCTCGTCTGACCTCCCTATTATCCTCATGTTTTTTAATTCCTCTATTTGTTTCGTTCGGTTTTTGGTCCGCAATTGTGTGTTTAATATTCAGGTACGGTGTATATTATCCAATTATTTCTTGTTTTAATCGTTCGTGGACAGACTTCTAACCACCTCCAATGCGCACAATCTCTTGTCTGCGTCCGAATTTCGGATAACTGCTGATTCGAAATCGAGATGCTCGGAAAGCAATATTCGACATTTTTGACAAGTTGACGATGCACAATGAGAGAGTCAATAGTGAGTATACATCTCGAAGACAAGGAATATATTTATTTAATAAAATATATTTATTTAATAAATTTTACATTCATATTTTGCATATATTGATTAAGAAAATTATATATGAATATACGTCAATATTTAATCAATAAATCTCTCGTTTTCATCTCACAAAGAGTAAGAAAAGTAAAAATAAAAATTGAAAAATTAAATGAATAATATAAAACGATATGAATAATACACAAATAAAGAAAGAATTTTAAATCAAATTTTTAAAATCGATCGTTTCACCATGTTTTTATTACGTTAAATTTTAACAATATATTTCGTATATATTTCTCTTGTAATGCAAAATTCAACTTTGATAACTCGCGTGTCCATATTAGAATAATGTCATTCTTAATAAGATGTACATTCACTTTTAACTCTCACTAGAAATAACGTAACTGGAAATCACGCTTTCTGACGCAACTCGTAGCTCGATCGCACTGTATATCTGTAGCAGGAAAGATTATTATCCTGGGACTCGAGAGGATAACTCAGAGGTAAAACATCCTAAAGAGAAAAAAAAAAAAAAAAAAAAAAAACAAAAAACGCATGATCCACGATTCTTAATGTTCACGATACACATATCTATCCTTTATTCGTCCATTTTATCTTTCTTCCTTCGCGAGTATTCCTCGCCTCGATCCAATATAAAATCGTCACGATAAAAATTGATGGCGAAATTGTACGACTGGTCAACACTTCCTTCGCTCGTTTCTCCCGCGCACCATCCCCTCCCCTCTCCCTTGCCCGCCCTCCGCCCTTTGATCGTGCGAAAGGCGTCGCACATAACGAGTGACAAATGGCGTCAACCGCTGAATTCAGTCGGCCAACCCTTTTCGAGCACAGTGGCTTCCATCGAGAGACGTCGAATTAAAACCGAAGTCAAATAACGGCACCGATTGATAGAAAACCCTTGCTACAAATTTCACACATCTTCTTCCATTCTTGCTAATCCGAGTTTAATTCTTAATAACTTTAATTTCGATGAAACGAGCATCTGACCATCTATCTTTCATCTTGCTTTCCTTGATAAAAATGACTCGTTCAAATTTTTTTCGCGTTTATTAATTCGTGATTGTGAAATAATATCTTTTAATTCGATAAATTTGATATCAAATTACACGATTATTATATAAATGATTGGTATAATTAAATTAAATTAAATTCTCACTATATCTTTCGCTCTATCCTCTATTAAATCTCTAATAAATAATTTCATGCAATCTCGATTTTTATTACTTCGATTTTTATTATTTTGATTGTACAACCGGTTTGTAATATTCGATATACTTATAGTAATTAAAATTGTTAATCGCGGTGAGATATGTGAGCACTGTGCCTTCATTACTCGGTCGGTAATCCCTCTCCCTCTAATCGTTCAATTTCATTGATCAGCCCTCCCCCTCGAATTACGTCTCTTCCGACACCCAGATTAGATTAGATCAGATCCGATCGTAAGGAAACGAGGATCAAAGCTGGACGATTTTCGCACGGTTCAACGGGCGGAAATCCCCGTACGCTTGTACACCCGTAATTACACGTGTGAGCACGAATCGTGCGAAATCGGTGATATGCGAATGGGCGAGTGAAACGGAGTCGTTGACGCATGATCGAATCATCAACGTTTCAGAGAGAGACAGGCATAAACCTACTCCGCCGCCGAAACCGGCCGCGCTGGTTGCCGGCCAATACGTTTATCGGGACATGGCTTTGACACCGGAAATGTACAATCAATTAAGAGGCTTGCAGAAAAAGGCCAAGGATCTGAGGCAAGAAGTTAGGAACTTGAGGCGCATGTCTCAGGCTCAGGCGCACACCATACGGGAGACCATTTTGGATACGTTCATCACGATCAGGTATATTTATATATATATGTCAGCATCAGATGGAATAAGGCCAGAGTATTTTTGATACAGTGATTCTCTCGCTGCGCCACAAATAATATTAAATTGATGCTAAAATATTATTTTAAATAATGGATATTAATTTCAAGATATGAGTATAATTTTGATAATGAAAATATTTGTATTATTTAATTTATTTTAACTTATTTTAATATTATTGCTGGAAATAATGATTCCAATTCAATATATTTATGGATTTCTTAGTCTCTTTTTGTAATACTGTAGTGAAAATATAGTGGTATAATTAATTGGATGTTTTTTCTATGTGCAAAAGTATTTTTTATTATTTACAACTTGTTCCTAATTTCTTTCATTGCCTTGAAACTCTTAAGTTTAAACTCTTAAGCAAGATAAAAGTATTTTACTTGCTAAAATTTTATTTTAAATCAAATAGAAAATCTAAGATTTAAATAGTAATTGAAATATTTATTTCATCAAATATTATATAAATATACTTAAAATTTTCGATTAACAATAGAACAGTCGCTTGTTAGTTAGCATCAGAGTTTTAGAGCTAAATTATGTACTGTACTTGTTGTACATATGTATTTTAAATTTTCATCTATATTGGCAAACAAAGCAATTGCTGATTAATCGTGTGTTAGAATCAAATTATGGTTGAATAGCGCAGCGTGAAAATCAATATATAGAATTGTTTGTAATTATCTATTCTAATTTATATTGGTTGTTGTAGAACAATGTTGCTGTCGTGCGGCGACGCGGCCTGGGACGCGGAGAAGATTCGACTAAGCCGCGAGGAGGACCTCTACAGGCAAGAGATGTTGAGGCTGGTAAAAGATCTAACGTAGGTGTTTCATTGTTTCTCGTTTCTACTAGATATATACTCAACATATACTAACATCTATCTTTCTATGATTTCAGCGAGCTGGAAAACACGGTGGAGGAACTACGTGGCAATGTCATAAATAGAAAGACGAGAGTGAACATGTCGGATGTGGAGAATATGGCCTTGATAATGAGCAAATCTAGGTAAGAGAAAGAAGAAGAGAAAAAACTATATTATTCTATAAAAAAATACAATCTCAAATTATTGTCTAATACAATCAATACAGAATAAATACAATCTCAAATATATATAAATAAATAATTATATATATAAATAATTATATATATAAATATATATAAATCTAAATTATTATATACACCCTCTATTTCAGCAAAACGGTAGCGGATCTAAAGGTGCGATTCCCAAGTTTACAAGAGGGTATGAAAGGTCTGTTGAGTTCGGAAATGGAGATGGTTGTGCGAGCGGAAAAGTTCCTCAAGGAAGAACCAGAACGATTGGAATCGGCGTTGAAACGTTGCAAAAAGCTCACAAGTACCCTCGTGACGCTCAAACGGTACGTAACATTTCCTCTTCATTACCAGATTCTATTCTGGATGGAGAACGAATTCATCGTGAAAGGGTTTAAAAATGTTCGAACTCACGTTTGTTTAAAAGTAAAATATTCATTCGTGTGTTCGGTAGTTTGGCGTCGGTGCAAGAGCAGCGATTACCAAACGCAGCAGCGAGCATAGACGCCGAAGAGACGCCACCAATAACACCAACCTCTGCTCAACATTCCAAGGTAATGCTTCATTTACCCCGCTCGCTCGCTCGCTCGCTGACTTTTATTTCTTTTTCTCTTTCAGTTTCTATCTATCTATCTATCTGTCTATCTAATCTATCTCTCTATATATCTATCTATCTATCTATCTATGTATCTATTTATCTTTCCATCTATTTTTCTATCTATCTATCTATCTATCTTTCTATCTTTCTATATTTCTAACTATTGAGTCTTTTCTCTCTGTTTTTCCTTTCTCTTTCTCTCTGTCTCTCTTTCTCTCATCTGTCTATTAATCTATCTATTTATTTGTCCATATCCCTGATATTCAAGGCCCAACCTGGATCCTCGTTCAACTTTTTTCTCGGCTGTTTCCGTTCCAATGGTACTGCCCGATGCATGACAAGTTTCCTGAGACCTACCACGATCCTCGTCCACCAGTTTGTCGCGCTTTGAAAACCTTCTGCCCCCTTCCGAGAAGGAATAAAAAGAAAGAGAAGCGTTTGATTTAATCTTGACGAAAGTTTGCGTATCGTTGATGTACAAGAGGCACGGAGCATAAATGCAATCTCGCGTTTCTTATCTTTTTGCGCGATTGTGTGGAAAAATCTTTGCAAAATCGATTGTACGTATTTCCTTTCTTCGTCACACGCTTGTTTAAAGAAAGAGAAACGATTGACATAAGCATCTTCGAAAAAAATGTACATCGCGTGATACATCGTAATCGGGAAACAAAAGTGTGGCCCAACCCTTGGAAATTTAGTCGTCTCGTTTCATAAAGTAGAAACGCGTCAGAAACACCAGTCCATGCTTTGTAGATCTATCTTTTGGCCTAATCGAGTAAAACGATGTGGTATTTTGCAGTGACGTACGTTAAATCCGACTACCGCTTACCCCCCGTATCCTATTATGCTAAACAGCGCATGCAACGAGTGACATAGAATTTTGTCTATATATTTTTATATATCTGTATACATAACTATATGTATATATTACATATCGTATTTCTTTGTATTGGTACACTCTCGTCTATTCTTGTATGCGTACTGTATACATACATACATACGTGTATCCATGCGTGTATTCGTAATATCTCTCACGGATTCGAACGGCACCTACATTGCGCGCAACGAATTACACTTGCTTGATCCACCTGTATCCGTCGGTAAAAACAAATTTCAGTGTATCTCGAAATGATTTTATTCTCGACGACAATGCCTGCAGTGCCTTTCTCTATGACTTCAAGTTCAAGACCATGTTACATTCTTCGTGTATTTTCTCTTCCTCGACTCTTGGATTCTCGAAAGCGTTTCTGACACATGAAATCTAATGTAAACCTTTCCTTTCGGATACGAAACGAGCTGTTATGTCTCGTTTCAAGAACGAAGCACGAAGTTGCACGAAAATAGTCTCATACGGTCCCTACTAGTGACTCTCGAGCCTTACGTGCCTTAGAGGTAAAAGAATTGGGGCAGTAACGCCGGATACGCGCGTCTCTTTGTCACCCATCCTTAACGAGAATCGGTGTCGCGCGAATCTTCCTCCAAACTTTTTTGTCTTTATGTGACATAGACCCTTCCACCCTAATCAACCCCCACAACCAATATTTTCAGTGTTTGCTGTGTCCCGATAGTATAGATATTTTTTATAAATTTAGCAGCGTATGATGTGACAAAACGGCTTTCGGTCGTCGAGCAAAGAGAGAGTCACACCTGCCTGCGTGTACTCTCACTTTATATACCCTTTCTCAACCCTTTTGCATTCGGATGATCGCGAGTGTGCCGGCGACCGTGTTTTGTCAGATCATTCTCAGTGTTAGTTGTGAATTAAGGAAAATGAAAAAAAAAAAAAAAAAAAAAAAAAAAATCTGCGTCGCGACGGAATTAAAAAGAGCGTTTATTCCCATATATAAATAATTATACATTATGTAAATATATAATTTTGTATTGTAATTTTTTTTTTTTTTTTTTTTTTTTTTTTTTCTTTTATATATCTCGTTCGAAAGAGACGGATCTGAAGTGACGGGCTGGACGCGAGACAACGGTAACGAGAGTCTCGTTTCCGTTGTTGCCGTGCTCGGTTATTTTTTTGTCCATCCGTCTGTCTCTTTTTCTCTCTTTCCGTCAAATACGAGCGAAGCGAGAGGTTCGATCGGCACTAACGATAATGATGATGATGATGATAATGATGATGATGATGATGATGATGATGATGATGATGATGATGTTTTGACGCCACTCCTTGACGATTAACAAGTGATTAACAAGCGACGCGGGTTATATACAGAAGCTGTCTCACACAGCGATTATTAGACTGTTTAATTTAAAGAAATATATCTATATCTCTCTCTCTCTCTATATATATATATATAATATTTCTCTCTGTCTCTATTTTTCTTTTTTAATAAGAACTATAAAACGCAGGTTACAGGCTACAGATAGTGAAAATGATATTAATTTTTTAGTATGGCTGGAAGTGGAGTACTAACTTCAAGGAGGCCATACAGACCAGTCATGAGTAATTTTTTACTGATTCATATTTATAAATTATTAATTATTATTATTATTATTATTATTAATATTTCTACTTTATTATTATTATTACCGTTATTATTCTGTACTATTTTATATACTATATATACCTATATATATATAAATATTCACATACCCAACGCATACATAACAACACTCGTTCATTCACACTGACATTACCCACCATACCAAACACATCCATGTACACACGTGTTTATATATATATATTATATATATTCCTTTTTTGTCGGTATGATGTCTGCCGCACAAATCGTCATTATATACTGTTCATATTACATATAATTGTTTACCCTTCACGACGCTCGAAGCATTTTGCCAAATTCGTCCCGTTATTTTCTCTTTTTTTTTCTTTTTTTTTTTATTTTTTTTTTTTTCTTTTTTCTTTCTCTCCCTATTATATACGGGTCAAAAGAACGTTTTTAGGCGGTAGCGAGAGAGAAAGCAAAACTTTTGTTCTGGAAGTTTGGCTGAATTCTTCGTCGTTTCTCCGTATTACACGCGTGATACTTTGTTGTTCGAAAAATTCGATTTTTTTTTCGCGGCTAGAAGGAATGGGGATAAACGCGCGCGGGAATGAGTTTCTCTCTCTTTCTCTCTCTCTCTCACTCTCTCTTTTTCACTCTCTCACTCTCTCTCACTCACTCTTCGCATTGAGGACAAAAATATATATCCGCAAGAAGTTGTCTGACCCGCGCCGGCTTATACCACTGAATCCGTCTCACCGTGCCGCGCGTTGCGTTGTTTGCATCTTACCGACACCAACCCTTTAGAGCTTTGTTAACGTTCTCCCGCTATGTATCCCAGTGCTTTTTCAGATCCGACACGTATCGGCAGAGAACACACTCAATACGCACGAAACGTTTTATCACGGGATTTATTACTAAAAAAAAAAAAAAAAAAGAAAAAAAAAACGCGCAATTCTCCTCGGCTATTGCTACGCGCTACGCGCCTTACGAGCTCTCACTTGGCCTTCTCGCAAAACCTTGTTATAATCACTATTGTATTATTGTATTTACAATTTTATTTACTCTCTAGATGCATACTTTTTTTTTTACGTTTTGTATATATATATATATACAATATATATATATATAATATATATATATTCGGATCGTCGTTCGAATCCTATATCCGATAACGTGTATACCATTTCGTCATCGAAAGATAATGATAAAAATACCATTTAGATTGCCATTTCGCCTCGTTAGACACGCTCCAATCCATTTCTTATAGTAAGGTGTAACAACCCTGACCCTAGTCTCTGTTCTCGGCACACAAGGTTTACATTGGATTTCCCGAGATTATGTTCGCAACAATCAACCATAATTGACGATGATCATCACGATGGCGGATGAGATTAACGCGTGATATCATCGTCGAATGCGCAATTGCTCGTTCCTCATTCGATCCTTGATGCCCTCTCTTCATCATCTGCATCTTTTTCGCTTCCGTACAATACATCCATCTACGGGGAGAGAAAAGAAAGAATTTCTCGAATTGAGATTTATGATTATGATTTTTCTCACGTTTCTCAGCACACGTTTTATAAGATGATTTCACGATCGAAATCTTCGAATGATTCGACGATGGATCGTCAGTTTTTTTTTTTTTTTTTATTTATTTATTTCATTCATCGATTCATTCGTCGCAAAAATAAATCTATTATCGATTCGCAATTGAATTCGAGGGTTCACCAAAAAAAAAAAGTTTCCGTTGCTTAGTCGAGTTATGATTTTTGCAGACTTTTTGGGACATTCGCTATGTTTGGTTACGCACAACTCGATCATCGTCATCATGCCATTATCATTCTCCGCCTCTAATTTTTTTTTTTTTTTTTGATCATTTGTATTCTATTCGACGTTCACGTCTCATCCAATCACGTTGTTTTCGATTCTTGGAATTAACGTCAACTCGCCGACACCACCCCCATGTTTCACCGTTCAAACTTTCGTTCACCTTATCTCATGTCTCTGTCAAACGTATCGATTCGATGTTGCCATTTCGTTCACACATGCTTTGTACACGTTCCTTTTCTCTTTTTCTTCCTTCTTCCTTCGTTTCTCTCTCTCTCTCTCTCTCTCTCTATTTATCTATCTATCTATCTTTTCTTTTTTCTCTGATTGATTTACACGCGCGCGCATACATGTATGAGTGTCGCGTGCCTCTCTCTCTCTCTCTCTCTCTCTCTCTCTCTCTCTCTCTCTCTCTCTCTCTCTTTCTCTCTTTCAAATCCGTAAATATGTACTGCCTTACTATAAGGATTGGACCAAGTTATGACTGTGTATCTTTGATCGGCCAAATTATTTTTCGTACATTACTTTATACCGTGTACATACTTGTGTTTCTTTTTTCGACCAGACCACTCTTCGTCTATACTTTGAAGCATGTTCCTCCGTGTATACGTAAAGGAATGCGCGCGTCCCATACGCGCAGCATGCGACATGCACGTACCTGCGTGAACGTATACTGAATCATTCTTAAGTATTTGGCCACTTGGTGAAATTGGATTAAAAATATGTATATTATAACGTGTATAGTAAATGTATTAAATATTGTATGTAAGTATTGTAGAAATCTATTGATTAATATTATTGACGTGTAGAAATGTTAAAATGTATAGATTTGCGCTAGAAACAATAGAAGGTTTAATAATTCGAGGTATAGCAACAATTTTAAATTTTTTAATCTTCTTTAATGTGGTTCTTAGATAATTCTATTACAATCTTTATGATTTTTCACTATATTCATTTCGATTCATTTTATCATCCAAAAGTTTCTCAAAACTTTTCGATCGAATTTACATTCACTGATTATGGTATCCATATTTTACATTTATTAATTTTATAATAACTGTAAATAATTTTGTTACACACTTACTACATTATATTGAAGATCTTATTTCTTCAACTATATCTTATGTATTATAGTATGTATCACTTCAATTATATTTTATATCCAATACAACGAACGTGGCCAAATACCGATGGGCGATAGTGTACATATGCTATACACGCGTAATGGAATCGCCCAATCCGCGATCTCCGTTTGCTCTGCACGTCGACTTAGCGTGTAGCCATGCATGCTCATTTGAGCTTCGTTTTTTGCCAAACAAAAAAGATGAATGTCGGGGCATGCGTTCGGATATCGACACAAACCAGAAACGAACGTTTTATATCATCCATTCCCTTCCGCTTAAAATTGCGGATTTTTTTTTCTCTGTAGTAAAAATACTATACGATTTCGTCGATGCCCGAACACACTCCTCGAATCGCACGGCTTTCTTTTTTGTACACGGACTGACAAAGAGAACACGGATGATAAATGCGGGACGAGAGTGCGAAACAGAACCGCATGGTGGCGTTCATAGCGGCGTCTGTTCGCGAAAGTAACGACATCTCGCGACTAGCCAGCCGATCGAATGGCTCAATCTGATTTTGGATTTTTGATTTTTGGTTTCTCTGTTTTTTTTTTTAAGTTGACTAATACTGGACAACAATCGATGCCAAATGTAAAAGAGCCCCAAACGAGTACTGACTTGTAACACGCACAACGCACGCACAAAACGTATAACCCCAGACCGCAGGTAACTATCTAACGGAATTAATACGTATATTTTAACGTATATTTTACCATTGATTTATATTCTATCTTTGCGCTCACGACTCATCGACTCGCATCGTTCGATCGATCTCGCGCCTTCCGATTTCTCGGTCATCCTACTTTTTCGCCTGTTTTTCACGTTTTTTTTCTCACTATCACGCTCTAGCCCTCGATCGCTCACCATTGTCTCACCAGCACCTTGCATGTATAACATATTCGCGCACATTTCACTATTACTGGCATGACGTAGCGATAAGCGAATGGTCGATCCACGATTTGTTGTCGCACGATCACGGTGCGTCTTTATCAAATTTTTCCACTTAAAATAAATATATATTACGTATCTTTTTAATACAACTTTCAATTCCATATTGAATCTCGTATTCAATCTCTTGATGACGCACCATTTTCTGCGATGCATCTCGACATCGTCGAAAGTTGATTTGGGGAACAACACAGTCGTTACCATTTTCTATCTCTATTCTATTTCTTTTTTTCTTATATTTATTAATTTTTTATACAACTTTCGACGATCGATCGAGCCTCCATCCGCGCCTTGCAAGACGCTGCGCCGAACTAGTCTGAAGTTAGCCGAGCTTGTTCGGCGCCGCGTCGAAGGAAACAATTGCATCGTCGCGTTCTTGGAGAGGAAGAGGATGGACTTTGATAACCGGTATCATCCACGTATCGAACGCAGGCAGCTGCCCCTGTGCCAGCGGAACGCACTGTCGTGGGGTCAGCGAGCGTCATCGGGGGAGGGCCCCACACTCACGAACCACCCACCGCCCATCAGCAGCGTCCGGAGAACGCACTCGACGCTCTGTTAGACGAGCTGCAGACGTTCTCGAGGCCAAGCTCGCAACTCGGCCACACTCAAGGATCCTCGACCATGCTATCGGAACTGGGCAGGTCGGGCAGCAGAGGAGACGCGGCTGGAGCAACGGGTATTGGAACGACTGGCCGACCGCCATGTATCTCCGACATAGGAAGGAAAGGAAGCGTAGATTCAACGAGTGGAATTTTGCCAAGCGGCGGGACACTGGTGCCTGTTGGAGGGCCACAGACCACAGGTGGAACGCTACGTAGATTGCACTCTTATCCGTCTAGCTCGGACACGGACACGTCACCTCCCATAGCGAGACTACAGGTGTCTCTGCAGGAACAACCGAGTTTACCGACGTTGCCGCAAGGATTCATCCCGGGACAGAAGCCACCGGTACCCGAGCGAAACGCAGAATTGCTTCAATTGGCCAGCGCGAGAAGGGTCCCACCCCCTCCACCGCCGCGTACTAGTTCTAGATCTCCATTGGCTAGTCCGACCAGTCCACAGTTGCCACCTAGAAATCATTCTTGCAACTTACAGAGCGCAAATGCAACGCTGCGAAGGCCACCAGCACGCGGTACTCTACCGGTCAAAGAAGGAAAACCTCCGATGGCCTTACCAACAGAGCAGCCAGGTACCGGATTGGGTTCCACGCTAACTTCCACAATCGGCTCTGCACTGGAGACAACATCGAGTCCGGTGCTTCACAATAATTCAACCAGTTCTCAATCATCAGCCGTGCTATCCACCAGTAACTCGAGTTCCTGTGAGAGCGTGAACTCGCAAGAGGGTCTACAGAGCAAAAAAGGCAGACAGGAGCAACTAGAACAACGGCATCAGGAACTGCTGCGTAAACAGAAAGCTCTGCAAGAACAATACGCGAGACTCCAACAACTGCAGAGGAACACTGCGGGCCTGACCACCGTCCCGCCTGCGCCGCCAGATCTCTTGAAAAAGACAGGCTCGGAGAGCAATCTGTTGGCCAAAATGGGCCTAGGACTGAGCACCGCCAGCTCGGGTTCTCTAACAAGTCTGACCGTGAAACCCTCTATCCCTCAAGAGGTTTCTGTGGATAGTCTGCGAACGCGACAGGAAGAGGCAAATGAACATCAACAGGTGTCGACCACGAACTCGACGTCCAATATAGAAAGTGGCAACACTACAATGGCCGGCACAAGCGAATCGAATGACAGTCAGCAGATCGCTAGCGTAATTTCTGTGGGAACCGCGATCGTTTCCACTGCGGCGTCAACATCTGGTAACAATAACGCGAGCACGACTACTACAACCACTACCAGTAAGATCTACGAAACAGATATTCTGTGACCGAGAAGCCGATCGTTGCTCGAATCGAGCGTTAAAGTGGCTGCTGAAGTCGTGCTCGCGAGTTAACCGCGTTATTCCTGAAATCGTGGTCAGAATTTGGCGTGAATAGAAAGGAAAAAATAAACGATAAAACTCGAGATGAAATAAATACGAATTAGGTTTTGGTAAAGCACCAAAGACGAAAGATATTTCGTCGAAGGTTAGTCTGCGACGAATCGCGAAAGACATCGCGATCTTGTCAGCTGGAAAGTAGAGTACAGCGTAGAGAACTTAGCGAGTCACGCGTAATTTATAATATCGATTATCATAATTAATAAACGATATATAGTATTAATAATCGTAAACGAAAAGCGCAATCTCTCTCTCGGAACGCATAATCCGGACGCATAATAAAAACGAGGCTGAGAGTGGTCTCCTCGTCACCTTTACTTGCGATCGTTAAGAATAGAAAAAAAAAAAAAAAAATTCGATGGTTCGAAGATCGAGTTCCTGGCCGCAAGATGATAGAATATCGTCAAGCGTTAACCTATTGCGGCGACGATTGTGCCAAAACGGAGAGCGAAAGCCACTGATCATAAGATATCAAACGACACGATTTGTCATCGACGCTCTCTTTCTTCGCGTTTTCTTCTCGAGTTCCATTAAGCTTCATTAACTTTCCCATGAGCAGACAAACCCGAAAGTCGCTATAATCGGGATATGTCGAATTATCATGCATACTTATGAATATATCTTAACTATATCTAAAAAAAGAACGATAAATTTATATACAAGAAATGCAGGAGTAAGAAAGAAGTTTCTATATAAATGAATATTTAAACGAAATATAGTTAGATAGATAGAAGAACAGCAGATAAAAGAACGTATTACGCAAAAACGTTGTAATGTAAACTTCAAGAGCGTTTATTCCTGTTTGAGACCGGCTATGAAGTTGTGCACAAAGTGTTAAACGAACACGCTACGAATGAGCTATACGCGTATCTCTCTCTCTCTCTCTCTCTCTCCGTATATTTACTTGTAAGTCACGGTGTGTGAAACATTCTTCATGTGTTTCTAAGTAGCTTTGATCGGAAGAAGATATAACCTCGATTGAAAACACGAAGAATGGAGAGCGATCGTTTCTCGTGTCGATCAACGCATATTAGTTAGCGGTATTCCGTTAATCTTCGAAAGATCGATTTTTTCGACGGACAATGGCAAGATTGAAAGGAACATTGCTCAATATTTACCGATCGAAAAATGCATCGAGTGTTTGCGTACGCGTACGCGGCGTTTTCATACCGCTCCACAATTCGTTCCAAGATGCGTGCAATTCTTTTCTCTTGGAGAAAATCAGCGAAATCTCTTAAAATCAAAGTGTAAATTATTGTTTAACGTTTCCTCGAATCGATCGTTTACTGATCGCTTTGCGAATCTTATTGCCAACTTATAGCTTTGCTGATCGATCGATCGACCAATCGAATCTTAACATTTGTAATTGGCACTCTTTTTGGAACGATTTCACGGTCAACGTCGCGTTATTCGCGCCAAATGTTCATTCCTAATTCAATTAGCTGATTAAATTAATTCGCTTGAATCGCGTCAATTCGTTGATAGAGCATGTTGCAATTGTCACGCGCAAGTCTCAAGTTTCTGTCAGCCTTTGAAAGACGTCTTGATTTCTTTGTAAAGGTATTGGCGTTAAACAGGAAAAAACTAAAGGAAAAGATGCAGTAAGATTAAGTAATAAAATTAACAGCGGAAAATATCCGCTGCTTTGTTATCGTAAAAAGGACGAGAACTAAGAAATAAGTATCCGTGCTTCCCAGTGCTTGACAGAAATCAGAGGTACATATTTATATAATCGATATGCGCATACTTTGCTTCAAGAGGCCTAATAGCCGATAGGTTCGATTCCTTGCTTCTTCTTTTCCGTTCCTTTTTCATTCAAATCCATTATTGCTTGTCGCAATTTATCTTTCATTTTCATTCTCAATAGTTAATTAGGAAGTTTCATCTACTACGCCGATCGTAATCGTATTCTTATTTATTTTCTACATACACCATGAAATACATCTATATGGAAGTAATAATTATTAATATACATATAACGATAAGAATAATATGAGTAAGATATGGATAATAACGATCGATTACAGTATTCAGTTGCGAGTGTTTATCAAAGCATTAAACGATCAAGACGGTACACAATCCCAACGAACAAGCACTTCTCGTTCGAATCTTTAAATCGAACTTGTATATTGTTCCATTCACAACAGTAGGTACTTACACGCAATATCCAATCGCATAATTTGCATTTGTACAAAGCTGCTTTCTCTTAACGCGTACTACTTTGTTTCATATTGATTTAAACCCTTTCTTTCTCCACTCTTCCTCTTTTGTTCGTCGATTTATTTTCTGATAAAAGTATGCGTTTTACGTAACCAAATCACATCTCATTATTCATATCTTCCATGATTCATGATCCACCAGGCAATAATTTCTCCCTCGATAGGTGTGAAATTGGCCACACACCTTTCGACCGCGAGACGTAAAGCGGGACCCGAATCGATTCAGTTATTTCCAAAACAATTAGCCAATAATCGATATATAATGTTTTCCGACGATCTTGTACGCCAAATCGAATTGACTTGTTACATTTGTAAATGTTTGTAAGTAACTATCACGTAATAAAATAATCGATTAATAATCATCGAAAGCATATTATGATTGTATGACGATTTTATTTATTCGCAATAGAAAGAATTTGTACAAAATAAAGAGCAACAGAGGTTGATCTAGTGGTGAACTTGAACGATTGTTCACGTTTTCGGTTTCTAGTTTCCATTTTCATTGTTGATTAGCCCATGCGCTTTCTTTATGCCCATATCTATTTCCTCTTTTTCCTTCTGCAATTTTTCGTATTTTTCTATAGCACCTGTTAATTCGTATCGATCCACCGAGTCCAAAATCGCATATGTTCTGATTAACTCTATATCATTCTGTATTGGTTCTTTTGCAGATTTAGTTTCAGGATAAACTAAATGGTAAAGTCGTATCAAAGCCGCTGCTTCTTCTATGTTCTCGCTTTCTATTATATCCATCAATAATGTGTGTATATCATTCTTCCAAACAAGATAAAACACTAACGGACCAAAATGCCTTGTAGATCGCAAGACATCGAATTTTTTCAATTTATTTATATAAGAGTATACTTCTTTCGTGACTCTGTGGTATTCTGGATCATCTGGTTCAAATTGTAAGCACGCTCGATCTAGAATAAATTCATATTCTTCCCTATCCAATAGATCCTACAAACACAATATATAATTAGAAATGTTTTTTTAAAGTAGCATTTTTTAGATTTTGAATAATAAATAAAATATTCTTACGCTCAGATATGGATTGTTGAACATCTTTGGTGTATGTATTTCTCTACCTTCTATAGGGAAATAAATTTGGTTCATTCTGTGTCTCTCATTGAAATTTGCATGTCTCAATGTACCATTTGTATCTCGAACAACAATTAATCTATTTCTATTATTGCTTCCAAAAGATATATCGGTAAATATCATATTGCTTGTTTCATAACCTTGCAAAGCAGGATCTTTAGATAGTATTTCACATTTGTCTGATCTCATTTTTACTACAGGTGGCATCTGTATCCGATTTTTTGCTTTTATTATTATTTCTGATCTTGCTTGTTCTAATTCCTTGTCAGTCATAAATTTATATTGCGGAGTTTGCAATCGTTTTCCATCTTTGCGTGTAGAAAAAATTTTCTCATAGCTTATACGTGTTAAAGTAAATAATAATTCTTGTATATGTTGATTGAAAAATAAAGGTGCGGGATCCCTGTCATCCGCTGTAAATTATTTAAATTATTTAAATCGTAGAAAAAAATTGATATATCAAATAGAAAAAAACGTAACCTATTCATTTAAATATTTTAATAATGCAAGAAAATAAATAAAAATTCTACTTACTTGTTTGTGAAACTGTTGAGCACAAACGACAATTCCAAGTTGATTGTTTATAAAAATGTCTTAAAATGACATTTATTCGACTACACATCATTATGATCATTCGACTTAATCTCGCATCATCATACTAACTTAATCTCAATTTTATATTAAAACTCGTACTATATAACTATATTACAAACTAGTAAATATATTTAAGTTGGCAATTGCGTCAATATAGGGATAAAGATGATTTGGTTGCCAGCATTAACTGTAGTATTTATTAGTTTGCGAAAAAAATTTTAAAACAACAATCAAAATTTAATTTCCATCAAATTTATTATTTACGCATCACTACGTATTGTTGATGCAGTTAAGTAATTCAATGAAAATCCTATCTGTTTTTTTTCACGCTATATTATAAAAAAGTTGTGCTTAATTTTAAACTTTCTATTTCACGATAGTTTCGCGAAGTTTAAAAAAAAATAAAAAATGGAATATACATTGGAAGATGCTTTTGAAAATTTGAAAGATACTTTGACAGAACGTCAAAAAGAAATGGAAAACTTATGTGATATAATTATGAATAATAAACCAATTGCTTTGAATAAAACTTGCACTTCAGAAGATGTAAGAAAAAAGCAATATAAATTGTATAAAAGTTTATTGAATAAAGTTCTTCAGGAAATACCAAAAGATTATCCGATTCCTCATACATCTGATTTGCATATTGAAATTCTAACAGAACTTGAAAATGAAGTGCTAAATGCTCAACAACTTCTTGACAAAATGAAGACGCAACTTTCGAATATTAATGAAGATATATCTTAGTTCGTAAAATAAACAAGTACGATTTTACTATGATGATAAATTCATTTGAAGTCATATAAAATTTTACGTTTTTATTTCAGTTTAGAAAAGAAGAAAATGGGTTCGGAAAAGATGCGAGAAGCCTTCTTGAATGCAGAACAATTGACAGATACTACAACTTATAATAAAGAACATGTAATAACTAAACGCATGTTCAAAAATGTAAAAAAGGATTTGGTATGATAAAAAACATAAAATTTAATAATGTTTTATTTTTAAGATTAATTTATTATAATTATGTAAATGTTTAGCATATGGTAGTAGAAATGTTGTTCCCAGAAAATCAACATTTCAAAGACTGTTTAGGGGTAAGCTAATAAGTATAAATTATTTAAAAGTATAAAAAAACTTCTATTATTTAATGTGGATGAAAATTTTTAGAACTTAACATCAGCATATACAAAAGGAGGAGATGAAATGTATATATCTATTACACCAGAAACTCTAGTGTTTATGAACTTCCTGATTGAGGCTGGTATAATTACGTATCATAGAAATGACAAAACTAGAGTGAGACTAATGGATATGTTATAGGTATAATTAAAATATACAGAATGTAAATATATTCATGAAATATTTTTGGAAGATTGATTTTAAATATTCTAAAAAACTTAAGATATGATAAAAATACCAGTTAAGATTTTATTAAGTTATAAATAATTAAAATTCAAGACATAAAATGAAATCTTTGTTATATCGTTACTTCTCTTTATTTTTGCTTTGCTTCATTTATATAAATTAATTATAATTTAATAAATAAACCTCAATATTTTTGTATATTATCTTTTATCTTTGTTTTGATTTCTGAAATCAATTTTTCAAAAGTATCTCATGAATATTAATATTAAATACATCAGTTTTATATTATTTTTAAATAAAGTTTTAATTGTTAAAGCTAAATGTTGAAGATTAAAAAAGAAATATATATGTAATAAATAGCTTGATAATAATGGTATATAATTATAAAAAAATTTCAATTCAAAATTTAAATTTAATATTTTATATTTCAATTTAAATGCAAAATTTTTTCAATTCAAACATTTTTACCACATAAATGGAGCTCTTTCTCTTAATACCCTAACACCTGTACGTTCCCATTCTTGCCGACCAATCCATAATTCTTGAGCAGATTCTAAACAACTTAAAATTGCTGCTCCTTTCCATGCTGTCATACCAGGATCCATTTCTTTTGGTTGTGTTATGATATCCAATTGTTCTACATATAATATAAAAAAAGAAAAAATTTAAGTTAAAAGAAATTTTCTTGTATTTAAATTTATATATAATTATATATTATATATATTATATATAATAATATATATTATATATAAAAATACACACCGGCTCTGTACATATAGGGAATTTGAAGAGAAATCCGATTATGTAGCCACATACCTATACCTTGGAATTTCATACCTGAACCAACTACAAGTACGCAACTATACATTTTCCTTTTTAGATCTTCCGTGGCTATGGAAAATGTAAAAATTAAAATTCATGAATTTTTTTGCTTTTATTGGATTGATTAGATATACATACGACAGCGATCGATACTTTGAAGAACAGCATGATCCAAACCTAACAATTGTTGAGGACCTACTACAAAATCACGCGGGGCATCTAAATCGCGATTCGATAAGGTAATCGGTGCCGAGTCTACTGCATCCACAACTACTTCTTCTTCTCCTGCTACAGTCGGTGCTGTTGCTTCTTCTTGCATTTCAGATGTTTGTTCAAGATTTTCTTTCATGCCTCTTCTCTAAACAATAACGGAATTAATATTTTTGTTAGAAAAATAAACATACTCATTTTCTTATGTAACTCTACATACACTTGTTTCTCGTAAATAATTTTCATCATGTGGATCTTCTGGATCTCCCATTGATCTCTTTTGTATATGTACACTATGTGTTCCAGTAACTTTAAATAATTCAGGTTGAAATAAACTTAAAGGTGCAACTAAACATTCGTCTCCTACTTGAAGAGTATATTTCTCAGTTTGTTGCTTCGGTTTACGAACTATAAACGTCTTTTCCTGAGATCCACATACATTTAAATCAACATGACAAAAGTCTTTTTTTAATTGATTCAAGAGTAATCCATCCAGTTTGTTAGATGGATCGCATGTCTTATAGGGAAAAGCACATTTTTGTAAGAGCCAAAAAAATGTTTGGGTAATATCTCCTCCACCATAATCCATTCGAACTCTGGTATTTCTATGAGAAATTCCATCTTCTACGCAAGAAACCGATGTTTTTTGATCTCCAACATCGACTACGCACGCGTATCCTAATCCTGCACCAAACGTAGCTGCTACATGATCCTTTAGAACACAATGATATATTAATGGTATAGGTAATAGAAGGAATCTTTTAAAAATATTAATACAAACTTGTAATAAAAAACATGCTCCAAATCCAATATCACAAAGCATCAAAGTTGTTAATTCTTTTAAGTATTGCCTGTTATAGATATCAGGAATTATAAGAACAGCTCGATAATGTTTCAAATCTCTTAAAGGAATATCCATTTTTTCTGTGAGAACATATTCCCAAATTGTTTTTAAATTGGCCATAACAGATCTTAAGCTACCACCAGGACCAGAATGAATGTTAAGTTCTCCTCTCCTATATAGGAAATGGATATTAAAATTATCATCTGGATTTAATGATAATACATCATCTCCAACTATAACATCTTTATCAGTTTTTATCCATTCAACGCTACATGGAGATGATATTTCTGGATTTGATCTACGATTAAAAGCAGCTATTTGTTGGGGTGGTGTAGCATATCTTCTTCTTCCATCAGATTGAAGACAGGATTGTAATGTATGAGATACTTGCAAACGAGATTCTTCCATTGCTTGTGTCAATTCTTTTGTCTACTAAAAGCAATTAAAAATGGAACATCTTTATAAAATGTCATTTGTAAACAAACTTACTCGTGGTATAGCTGATGGTAATAAACTATCCTTATATTCTAATCCTCCTGGTAAACGTTTTCTAGCAACAGCATTTAATATTGTACAAGGATTTAAATCTGATGCTCTTCCCATCCTAAGATACATGGATCCAGGATGAATTATAATAATCGTTTGAGCTTGAATTTGCTAAAAAATATATAAAATAATGATACATTATATATATTTAAAATAATCTAACTATAGTATTATTACCTCCGCACATGATTCTTGAAAGACAGGCATGATTGTTTTATATATTACTTTTATATACTAGATTTAATAGGTTATGTATGTTTTATCATTTAAATAATTGATTTCTGAATGAATTAAATATGAAATGTGATTTTAATTTATTAATCCATATTTATTTAAATGTTCAACAATGTTTATTTTATTTATTTTATATTTATACTTGTACAAAAATACAACCGGTTTAGAAGTTAATGCCATCTAGTATTGTGAAAACATCAATTTCAAAAAAAGAACGAAAACTATTTCTCTAATCCCAGTATATTAAAATTTTATATTGAATGCTTGAAATAATAAAAAACTGTCACGTTTTTTAATTTCGTAACAAAGTTTTTTTTTATAAACTATATGTACATTTATATAAGAATATAAAGAAGAAATCTAGATTTTAAAATATTATTATTATTATTATGTTGAATAATTAATTATTATGTATTTTAAATTGTGTAAAAGATATAAGAAAAATATGAAGATCTACAAATAATTAATAGAAAATGCATTATTTTTAAAAAAATTATTAACAATATCAATAATTCTAAAAATCTAAGAATCTATCATTTTTTTAGTTTATGAAGAAATAATATTTAGAAGATTAAAAAATTAAGAAAAATACATTTATATAAAAATTTATTAACATATCTAAAATTCTAGATATCTCTCTGAGAATCATATGAATATTAATGATTTAATATATTTATTTTTATTTGATTTTAACAATAATTAAAAATTACAGTATAACTCTTTCATTTATACATTTAATATATATAATATATTATGATGAAATTGAATGTTTTACATTGTTTGAAAACGGACTTTAAGTTTTGTGCCTTTTTATCATACTTAAAGACTGTACATTAAATGATTTTCTAAAACGATGTATAACATGTGCTTGTAACTTGTCAGCACGTGTGAAATTTATACAGTAATATATTCTTAGAATTTTGTAATGGAAGAACGTGAAAGAGCTTGAAAAACATTTGTTTTATATTTATTGTAAATTAAAATAAATTTTCAATTATACCAAAATGAGTACAATATTAGAAAAGATTGCCTCAATCGAGGCCGAGGTAACCTTTAATTTATCTTTTATTTCTTTATATTAATTTAAATTTGTTATTATATATTATAATATAATTTTATTTTATAGATGGCTCGAACTCAAAAAAATAAAGCTACATCTGGCCATTTAGGTCTATTAAAAGCAAAATTAGCTAAATTAAGAAGAGAACTTATTACTCCTAAGGGTGGTGGAGGTGGTGGGGAACAAGGTTTTGAAGTGGCTAAAACGGGTGATGCTAGAATAGGTTTTGTTGGTGTGTATTAAGGTATAATCAAATATATATATGTATATTTCTATCAGAGCAATGTTTTATTTTATTTATTTTGAAATCGTAGGTTTTCCTTCTGTGGGTAAATCTACTTTATTGAGTACTCTTGCTGGTGTTTATTCTGAAGTTGCAGCATATGAATTTACAACTCTTACTACTGTTCCTGGTTGTATAAAATATAAGGGTGCAAAAATACAGGTTTTTAAATTTACTCTATTAAATATAAATCCAACAAAATGTTATATCATATGAATTATTGGATGCATTTTCTAGTTGCTTGATCTACCTGGTATCATTGAAGGTGCAAAAGATGGTAAAGGACGTGGAAGACAAGTTATCGCGGTTGCAAGAACTTGCAGTTTAATATTTATTGTTTTGGATGTGTTAAAACCACTTGGGCATAAAAGATTAATTGAACATGAATTAGAAGGTTTTGGATTACGTTTAAATAAACAACCGCCGAATATTACTTTCCGTAAAAAAGATAAAGGCGGCATTAATTTTCAAACGACGGTAATAAATGGCAAGATGAGCGACATAGAAAACTACAAATGATCAGATTTGTTTTTTTTATATTTTATATAAAAAAGACGACAAAATCATGTGTAGTTTTTTTTAAAATGATTATCATATTATGTAATAAAATTAATTGTATTATTTATTAGTGTGCACAATCAGAACTTGATTTAGAAACAGTGAAAAGTATTTTATCAGAGTATAGAATTCATAATGCAGATATTATTTTGCGTTATGATGCTACATCTGATGATTTAATTGATGTTATTGAAGGAAATCGTGTTTATGTACCATGTATTTATTTACTCAACAAAATAGGTAATTGTTATTAGAAATTGAAAAATATCTGCTTGAATTATTGATTACAGTTTATTCATATTTGATTCTAGATCAAATTAGTATTGAAGAATTGGACATCATTTATAAAATACCGCATTGCGTACCGATTTCTGCTCATCATAAATGGAATTTTGATGATTTGCTTGAAAAAATGTGGGAATATTTACAGCTTGTTAGAATGTATGTTTTCGGAATTTAGAATTTATTTCATCATTTTTTAAAATAAATCGGTTTATTTATTTGATTCTTTTTTAGTTATACTAAACCAAAGGGTCAATTACCAGATTATAATTCCCCAGTAGTATTAAACAGAGAAAGACGAACAGTTGAAGATTTTTGTAATAAATTACATCGATCTATCGCAAAAGAGTTCAAATAGTAAGTATATTCCTTTTAATTGTATCTGCAATTGTTTTTTATTCTCGATTATCGTATTCAATACTTATATTACTTTTAGTGCTCTTGTATGGGGATCGTCCGTTAAACATCAGCCACAGAAAGTCGGAAAAGATCACATATTATGTGATGAGGATGTCGTGCAAATTGTAAAGAAAGTATAATCTTATTTAAAATTTCGTATATAATTATTTAGAAAATTAAACTGAAATTTTCATAACCAATCTCTTGTAATTAAAAAATATTACAGCTTTTAAATTTTTTTTTTTTTTGTTGCTTCGTATAAAATAATACATTTTCATTGTATTATAATATAAGATACGTTAAAACGGGAAAAAAAAGATATCCTAGAAGTGGTTGGAAATTTATTTTTTATCGAATAATTGTGTAAATTATTAATATTAATAGGTACATAAATCATTTCAAATCATTTTATTTATTTTATATAAAATATCTATTATACAACAAATAACATATACAACTGAATAAGCAACAAATCGTTTATAAACTTTTTAAAATATAGTCCCTTCGTTGTTGGTCCAATAATTTTTCCAAATGTTCGCATTTTAATTTTGTGTCGTTAAGTTCTTTAATCAGATTTTTGATCGTTAAAACTTTTTGTGTCATTATCAATTTAATTCTAAAATATAAAATCATAACAAATATCGGTGTGATTTATGTTATTATTTATTATTTATATATATTTATATATATATGTATATATCGAACCTGCTGTGTAACTGAGCCATCGAGGCGTCTCTGTTTGCATTTATACGAGTTATTTCCTGGTAAAGCGAGGCAATTTTTTCTTCCAATTCTCTTTTTTCTCCTTCAATTTCTTGCCTCACAATTTTCTTTGCGTTATTTCGTTCTATATTTAATCGTTTAATTACCTAAAGATATGTACCAATTCTTATTCGAAAAATATATGATACACTCATTTATGAATTTATAAAGGATTCTCTTCGTTAAAAATTTACGAAAAGTCCTACCTCATTTGCAGTATTCAACTCAGTTACACATTCTTGCAATTTGTTCTCCGCTTCTTGCAATTGAGTTTGTGTTTTTTCAAGCTTATCCTTCGTTTGAATTAACTTACCTTTATGAAGCTGTTCATTATCAATTGCATTTTGTAAATCCATTTCGTATTTCTCTGTTAAGGATCTAAAAAATAGCCAATATATACGTGATTGAAGCATCGTTATAGAATCAATCTCAATAATTATATATACCTAAGTTTGCAATCAAAATTTCGTTGAAGAGTTAATCTTTCATCTCGAGAATCTTTTTCTAAGCGTTCTATGACAAGCTCAATTTGCCGATCCCTCTCCTTATTACACTCTTCCTTTATCTTATTCTCAATTTGTTCTATTCTTAAATTTTGTTGTCTCTTATACTCGGTTAAACAAGTTTGCCACTCAGCTTTCATTGACTCTTGAAGTGTCTTTTTCTCATTGGAATGCTGTTGCTTCAGAACATCTATTTCTTGCTAAAATATAAATATTTTTCATAAGCTTGTTTTCCAAGCTTCCAGTCCTATCTCTACCTTATATTGCATATGTATCTTCTGCAAATTAGCTTCCATTTCAGTGTCTCTTTTCGTCTGTTCCTTGGCAAACTTATCTCTGTCATATTGCAATTCTTCCACAAGTTTCGCTTGTTGGGTTTTAAATTGATTTTCTTGTTCCTCCAATTTCTCCTGGTACCTGAACAAATGAGAAGGAACGATTTCAGCTTGTTGCGCAGTTGTTTCAATCAGATTTCTCTAAAAAATTAATTCTACACCTGGTCCACAATATATTCTTCTCGTTGGCCAACATTCTCTCGTGACTGGCCGTCAACTCGAGACGCAGTTGTTCCAATTGTTGATTAGATCGACGTATGATACGCAATTCGGTGTCTTGCAATTCCTTCATGTGTAAATTTCTCAACTTCTGAATCTCTTCCGCGTGTTGTTCCATCATATTACGTAGTTCAGGTTCCAAACCCTTTACCGTCATTTCCTTTAAACCATTACGAATCGTAAATCGTTGAAAATCGATAACTCTAAATGAAATCTCTTAAATGAATCAAAACCTTGATCTTTGTCGTCCTGGCCTCTATCCATCGCTCCCTTTTTATCTTCTCAGCAGCAGCCAAATGATCCTTCGCTCTTTGTAACTCCACCACGTGCCTGTCGGCTGCAGCTTTTAAATCTCTTTGCATTTTTATCTCTATCTCTTTCACCTTTTGCACCAACGAATTGCATTTCTCTGTCAGATCGGTTTTCTCCTGGATCAACTGCTCAATGAACTTCTGATGTCTCTTCACTATTCCTTTGTATTTCTCCTCTTGTTGTTGCAACTTGGAGTTACTGCTCTTTTTCTGACTTTCCAATTTCTCACACGCCAATTTTCTTTCAGTCTTCAATTGTTCCTTCAAGAGCGATACAGTGGCCTCTTTTTCCTCAAGTTGCAATTGGGCTGTGATTAAATCTTCTTTGAATGCATGGGTATTATTGATCTCGATATTAGTTGGTCCGATGCTAAAAAAATAGAACAAAATTTTTGTAATTATCTTCTATGTGTGATTTTAATATAAAAACCTCTTACTCATCGAAATTGATGCAGGGCAAAGATTGCGAGTTGCCAAACATGTCTTCAAACATAACGGCATCTACCTCTGGGATGTTGATCTTTGTCTCGTCCAATGTACCTGACGTATATGCATAGTTATTTATAAAAATTATAAAGGAACGACGAAGATTGAAATTTTAATAATAATTGAATTATTATCACAGTGTTTTCCAATATTTTCTGAGATACGATCCCCATTTACAATAGCCAAATAACTTGCATTTCCATATTCATTTATATAATTTATATAAAAATGCATTTTTAATAGAGTTCAATAAATATAACATATTATTTCTAAGAATGAATGATAAATGAAATTCAAAAAGAAATATATAAGCTTATTTTAGTAAATATAAAATATTTAATATATGTCATCATGATGAATGTTTAACATTTTTTAATGCGCGATGAACTATATAAATCACTTCTATTTATTGTATTATCATATAGCTATATCAAAATAAATAAATTTTGGGAATTTTTATTATATAATTTAATTAAATAATTGAATGAAAATAATTTTGATGACAAAAATCACTTGGCAACACCCTTGGGGGTCGCGACCCACAGGTTGAGAACCCATATATTGTAATATAAGCTACCATCTTCGAGCTTTGTCAAGAAGGTCATTATATCGTCGTAAGTAGTACCACTCGTTTCATGTTTCCCATGAGATACGTCTTTTTCTGGTTTTAACTAAAATTAGAAATATTTGAATCAATCCAATTGAATAAAATGTTCACTATAATTTTGTTTCTCGAACCTGTAATTGATTTATTTCTGGAATCTTTGCGTTAATATCTTTTTCGAGATCACTAATTATATTACAAATTTGTTCGAATGAGCACATAGTCGATTCGACGATATTTTCATTACAATCAATTTTCTTTGTATTTTCCATAACAATGGAATCATGATCGATCTCTTTTTCCTTGCTATTATCCGTAATTTCTTTTTGTTTTAACTCTTTTGTTACAAAAGATTTATTTACAGGTGGTTTTCCGCAAATCTTTGGATGATTGATGTTAATCATAATCAATCGATCGAAGATTTATATCGTTTACGTCGAATAGACTCGTATCTCGAACTGAATGTTCAACGGTTCTTCATCCCTTATTTATAGGTGAATTTTTGGTTGTCAAGACAATGTCAAGGTAACACGATGGTAAAACATTTGGATACATCTGTTTTTTACACAGTATTTGAAAGTAAGTAAAATAAATACACATTTTAAAGAGCGCGTAAGATTTAAGATTTAAGATTTAAGCACAAAACACATAAAGAGTAGAATTAAGATTTTACGTGTTAATATTTATGCAATAAAATATTTATGATTTAAGATTTTTTTAATCAAAAGCTTAGGCAAAGAAGACGATAAAATTAATCAAAAATCGGAATCGTTTTTTAAATATATAAATTTTATAGTGCAAATATAAACAAGCAAAACAAATAGTGCGAGAACGATAGATAAATTAAAAATTGAGAAATCAATGCCATCTTTAGAATGCCATACATACTTAAAAACAAGGAGAGCAAATTAAAAAAAAAGGATAAATATAATAAGAATTGACATTCATTGCCATCCGAAAAATATTTTTTTTCAAAGGTAAGGTAGAATAAGAATTGAGAATTAACGCCATCTTTTAGTTATTTTTAAAAATACAGTTCTTTGTTTCTCAACAGATGGCACTATTCCATAATTCTTATTCTATTAATTCTACTTTTGAAAAGATATCATTAATTTTCAAGAGATGGCACTAATCATCAATTTTTATCTTATATTTATTCTTTTTCTACTATTTTTTTTCTTTATCTATATTTGCTCCATAAAATACACTCAGAGAACTCCGACATCTAATTAATTTTATTGTTTTCTTTTATCTTAATTTACTGATTATAAATCTTAATATATAAAAATTCAATTTTTATATATTGTATATTTATCTTATAGATATTTGTATGTAAATTTTTATATGCCATTTTTTTTACGATTATATTCTTCTAGAAATTAGACAAAAATTTTTATTCCGAAATTCTTAAAAAAATTTTAGTCATTATTAAAAATTTGAAAAAATTGTCATAAATTTAGATTTATTAAGAAAATATAATTAAACAAGAGGTAACACGTGAAATTTTTTTAAGAATTCTGAAACATAAATTTTTTGCCAAATTTTTTCGATTTTGTATTAGAAGAATATAATTGGATAGAAGGTAATTTGTGAAATTTTTCTAATATTTCCAAAAACAAGAATTTTTATAAAATTTTATATATTTATCTGTGAAATGTTATTTGCATATTTATCTATAGCAATTGTCATTTTTCGAATTTAGAATCATTTTTTCAAAATCTTTTTAATTTTAATTTTAAAAATATCATTTGTATACTTCTATTGAAATTGCTACTTTTTATTGCACGTTTTTTTCAATTTCTTTATTTCTAATGTATTCTAATGTATAATGCAGATTGGATATTAATTATATAATATAATATTAATCATAATCTTTTTTGTTTTAATAAAAATGGGATATTATTAATTTTATCATAAGTGAAGATAATCTTTATTTTTTCATATATAAAATAGTATTTTTTAATGTGTTAATTGGTATTTGGTCTTACTAAAATTAAGATTTTATGTGAAAATTTACGTTTAATTTTACTTATCACTAATTTTTATTTATATTAAATCGGTAACATAGATAATGATACTACTAAAATGGGAAGAATATTACGTCTATTCTTTAGTACTCTACAAGTACTCTACAAATAGATCCGTTCTACATCTCGTCTATGAATCTATATTAAATCTTTAACTTGTCTACATAAACGCATGAACACACGCATTAAATCTCTTTTTTGATTAAATGATGGCAAACCCAGTTATCGATTGAGCGAATGGTAACACAGAATTTGTCGTTACTGCGAGATACGGCGCGTCGCTAAAGGGTTCGCTTAGAGTCAGAGTAGTCAGCACCGTCTGGAGGGGGGAACTAGTAAATTCGGGAACTGGGTAGCCACTGGGAAGAGATCGTAGGGGATACGAGGAGGCAGTGGTCGTCAGTCGGAAGAGAGAGGCGCGCGTGGGGCGAGGTTGTTGCGGGTGAACTCGTGGGGAGAAGGAGAGCCGAGGGTGAGGGTGAGGGCGAGGGCGAGGGTGAGGGTGAGGGTGAGGGTGAGGGTGAGGGTGAGGGTGAGGGCGAGGGCGAGGGTGTCTGTACGTACACCGAGAGAGAATCGATCTAAAACTAGGAGTCGCCGCAGTAACCGCTGGGAGGAAGCCACTGTTACAATTTGCCCCCATATGCGCTAGTGAAATCTTAGATCGGGTAATTGTACGGAGAGAGAGCAGCTAGAATGAGGTGTTCCCGCGAGGTGGTCGTTCGCGTTCGGCCCGCGCGTTGATTCGAGCTCGCGCGATACGCCACGCCGATATCCGTGCTGATACAGTGCGGAAATCCACCGAACGAACCGAACTCAGTGCCGAGGCTGACCGAAAAGAGAGTAACGGAGAGGAAGCGACGGATGTCTATATAGGGAGAGGGAGAGAGAAAGAGGGAGAATCGCGAGGAGCGCGCCACAGAGACAGACGGAACTACTACAAGGGAAAGAGAGAAAGAGGAACAGGCCAAGATAGAGGGAGAGGGAGAGATACACGTAGAAAGAGAAAGAGAGGAAAAGAAAGATAGAGGGAGAGGGAGATCGAGAGCGCGAGAAGGACAGGAAGGAAGAGAGAAAGGGAAAGAGAAACGGTGTCGCATCATAAGGTGTTTCGGTGTACGGTGCACGAGACGGAGAAACGGTCGCGAGAAGATCACGAAAGAGAATTGGGTGAAAATCGGAGAAAATCGAGCAAGAAGAAAAGAAGCAGAGAGAGGAGAAAGACGGGAAAAAGACGTGTGAATACAAGAGAAATTCGAGAGAAAAACGGGACGAGGAAGAGAAAGAGAGAGAAAGAGAGAGAAGAAACGGAGAGAGGGAGAGAGAAAGAGAGAGAGAGAGAGAGAGCGCAAGCAAGGGTGGGCGGACAGTAGTGCACGAGAGCATCCCGTCGCCACGATAATGCGACGTGCAGCTTCTTTACTCGTTCCTTCTGAATAAGTGCTTGCTGGGACGGTCCCTTACCTGCAGGGATATGACGTAATGGCAAGAGAGGTACGCATTTATATTGCATTCTTATTACCGATCACTTGTGCTCGACCAGCTCCTTATATCCGCCTGTCTCTCCTACTACCACCCCTTGTGCGTGTCTCTTCGACTTTAAATTTCAAATCACATCTCTCATCCTATTTAATCCAAGACTTTCTTTTTTTTCTAATCCTCCCTATTTTTCATTATTTTCAACAATACATCTTGACAATCATCCAAATATACACCGATATACCCTTGCTTTATCTATCCATGTCAGATATGCAGTGTCGGTCAGTTATACGCATTCGCGTCGCGGACTCACGCGTATACACGCATAGACTGTGGAAAGTGTAGAGTTTTTGCGATCGAAAATACCGCATATCATCTTCGTTTTGTTACGTTTATCCCTTCGTTCCGACACCTGTCCACGTTCACGTCTATATTTTTTTTTTTTCCTTTCTTTTTTTTTCGTTTCTATATATTCGTATATTTTCGATCATCATCCTTCCCACTGTCCTGCATTTATTTTTTCGAGACTTTCGAACGTTTGACCTAGCTGCGTACGCTGATCAGCGCACCAGTCCTTTTAGGTTATGCTTCTTTCCTGCCTAATCACGCAATCCCACAGGATCGGCGTGGCCTCGATTCTAGTAAACAGCGGTTCATCGCGTATTGTTTATCAAAATCGTGCTCCGGAGAGAAGCTGCATCGAGTGTAATTCCCATTCTAGGACAGAAGTGCAACACGCCGAACGTGCATTGGCCCTGGTCACCCGATTCTCCGCGTTCCTTGCCACCTATCAATCTATTATAACCTCGTTATTGTGTCTCTTTCATCCTTCCATTCGTCGCTCTCCCTATATTTCTCTTTCTCTTTCTCCCTTTTTCTTTTCCTTTCTTTCTTTCTTTCTTTCTTTTCTTTTTTTTTTTGATCGTTTACCCGAGAATGATTGAATCAGGTCAGTGTTTTCGACCATAAGTTGCGCCTGCGTCTGCGCCTTGTTCACTTTGCGCCTCCCTGTTGAAAACTAGGGACAACCCAAACATAATATTCCTTTTTGGCTCGCATTATTCTAATATCGTTTGCGAATAATCCCATTGCGATCCAAAGATCCCTTAACCCCAATAATCGAGAAATCGGTGCCCACTGAGTTTCATGCTCACGAAACGCCGCCTTAAGACGATCATGCACCCACATTTCGAAGGGGTGGTGTTTAGAAAATAAAAGTACATTCGCCTTCCTTTGTAACGTACGCCATCGAACGACCTGATCCTTTTTCGATCCACCCCCTACGAGAAATCCTCCTTCTCTCGTCGTCGAGAGAATATCTCGCGTATCGAAATTCTAATCGACGAGATTCCTCTTTTCTCCTTCCTTTTTTTTTTTTTTTTTTTCTCTCTTTTTCAACGAACGCTGCTACATTAGGATACGAACTGCTCTCTTTTCTTAAAGGATACTCGATACCAAACTTGTTCCAATTTGCACGTTATCGGACTCGCAATACTATTTTTCTGCACATCCTGTACGTCCTATTTTTCTTCTCCTGTGAGTAATTTAATCTTTTATTATATGTTTAATCTTTTCCTGTTCCTGCTTTAGAGACGTGATGTACGATATGTCGTCGTTCTCCATCTGTTAAATTAAGTCCTAAAGAAGAATATCTATTTTTTTCCACGACTCTCGTTCGAAGAAAAACAGGGGGAAAAAGAGAAGAGAGAGAGAGAGAGAGAGAGAAAAAAAATAGAAGACTTAGTCGTTGCAAGGATATATGGATATTCGATAATAATTTCCCAGGCGAGGCGCGCGATAGGCTTTGTTTATAGTCTGTTCTACTTAGTTACCGTGTATAAAACACGTAGGGTAAATTACTTTCCCGTTGACCCGGCGCAGACACTCCACTTAACATCTAGGCGATAAGCATTTTCCACGGTTTGCTCGAGGATTTTACGCTTTCTTCGCACGCAATTACGTCTCGTTTTCGAACCGATCCTTCCATTGATACATCATTTTTCGATGTATCGTTCTTTTTCCACATAAGAAAATCGTCCATTTTTCTAATCTTTTATATCTTTTAACCGAATTCTGGATTGTCATTGATGGATCATTTTTGGACGATTTGGATTTTCCTTTACGATTCTAAATATTGCTACTTTACTTTCTCCTTTGATCTTTGTCGCCATTTCAATTTGTATCATCTTATCTATAATTATATCGCAATTGATTTTCTATATTTTGCCGTCCAATGTATCTATTTTTATATCAAATCTCTTTTGTGTTTCTTCAATTCTAAAAACTCTAATTATGTCAATATGATTTCCTTGCATTTTCCCTTCAAATCTTTATTTTTACAAACTTTATATTTACTTTGTATATTTATGTTTCTCCAATTCTCTAACAATTTTAATCAAAACTGCTAAATTTTCTTCTTCCAGTGTTTATTTTTATACCAATATCTATATTTTTGTGTTTATCTAATTCCTAGAAATCATTTCTAAATTCATCGCCCCTAAATTTACCGTCTTTTTCTTTATCTTCCATTATTCAGTTTCATTCGAATCATATAATTAAAATGAAACCGGTAGGCTGTTCTATGGAATATCGTGACTCAAACGCAAATTGCATCAGTTAATTTCTGTGCAGGAGTTACGGACCAAGAGACCTTTTAAGATATGGGACAGTTGGCGTAACGTAAGAAAGGGACTGTGTGTTAGCAATTTCGAGGAACTAATACACCAGGGTAAGAAGCGTGCCCTCTGAAACCGGTAGCGAAAAAGTAACCAGACCTCTGGTACTCGATGTGGAAAGTATTACATATGAATATAAATCTCGACGATATACCTTACCTACAGTTGGTCACAAAAGTATTCTTTTTTACTAACGTAAAATTATTCGAATATAAATTTTCGAGTCATCTAAAACATCGAAGGAATAAGTTAGAATAAAGCTAGATAAACAAGTATATTTGATTGAATATTTTTGCGATCAATTGCGTGTTCTGTCCAAGATTGGGCGTAATCGAAAAACAAAAATTCTCATTTAAATAATTATTCAAATTATTTTTACTTTGAATTTTAATCTGATATATATTTGAATATTTTGGAAAAAAAATATATATATATATAGATATTATTTCATAACAGATTAATTTTTCTATGAATCTCAATTAAAAAAAAAAAATCTCATTTGATACTTATCTGAGAAAAATAAGTAATGTTTCGATTGAAAAATAATGTTATTTGAATAATTATAACATCTTACTCGATTATTTGGATATTTTCGAAGAATTATATATTGTTTTCGATTACAAAAAAAAATATCGGCCCAATCCTGACTCCATCATCGGTCCGAAATTCTGTTTGCTTCGATGCTCGATATCTTCTCGCGATTAAGGCGTTAACCCTCTGATATACACGACAATATTATATACATAACGTGCTTTCTTTCTTTTCACGACACACAAGATATTGGGATTACTGGTCGAAAGGTATCGCTTTTTTTTATGCAAGAACATTTAACCGAAAAAAAAAAAAAATCGTGTCGAACCTTCGCCGGCTGTCGTCTCAAAGAGAGAAAGAGAGAGAGAAAGAGAGAAAGAGAGAGAGAGAAAGGAAAAGAGAGAAAGAAAAAAAAATGATTATGAAGTAACACGATCACGAGGCTATCCTTGAAAGGGAAAGAATCGTAGGCGAGAAAGATCGTGATTATTATTCCTTTCCAATTAGACAAAAAGAGAAATAGAGAGAGATAGAGAGAGAAAGAGAGAGAGAGATATACTTTCTCCATCTTCTAGAATCGAATTAATCCATTGGATTTGTCTCGAGACACTTGGGCATTACATCAAGAACAAAGCGTATTTAAAAAATGTTGTATCAATTAAATTAAAGTATTAGTTTCAACGTATATACATAGAATAATAATGCGATAAAAGATTTTGAATTATTCGTCTAATTGTATTTATGTTAATCGAATTAATCACGGACAAATGAATTTTCTTGAATTTGATATACCATAATCAATTTTTTTTTTTTGACTTAATTTTAAATAATAATTTCGATTACACAAATTCAAATTAAATAATAAGCAACCTTTCATGTCAAATTATCTTTTAATTTGAATGAATCGATATAAAAAGGATAAAAAAAAAATTCGTGAGAATAAAAAATATTTCCATTAAAATATGCTCAATCCTGTCTTCGAATCGAAAATACTCCTCTCTTCGCGAACAGATCACAAATGTTAGCTCGTTCTTTCTCTATTTTATCTATCTATATATATATGTATATCTCTATCCTTCTTCTTTTCACGTTTCTTCCCCTCGTAGTTTCGAATCGACGCCTCGAACGTTAATCATCGACCCAATAGACATACACGTGCGATCGTCATTTGTAATTGCAACTAATCGCCGTTCCATGTTTTCTCATCCAATTTTAGGTAAGGAGAAACTGGGCGTGCCACAGAGCGAGAATGTATCCGTAGTGTTGGAATCGGACGGTACACAAGTGGAGGACGGGGAATACTTCAAGACCCTAGCGAATAACACGATTCTATTGTTGCTAAGGCATGGTGAACGTTGGTGTCCAACTGGAGTCGACATCATACGCGCTGGTATCTATCTAATCGGAGAACGTGTGATAGGATTGGCCTATAAATTAGCGATAAACAGGGAAGGGAGGCTTTGCGTGCCTCTTAATTCCGTGAAAAGTAGGCAAATAGGATGAGCGAGGCGATTTTCATTTGAAAATAGACTTCTTGTTGGCTTTGGTATATGCTATGTAATTTTGAATACTGGTTGTCACTTGAATTTGAAAAACGATTGCGAGAATCATTTGTAAATTTTGTATGGAATTTTGTTAAATATCTATTGATTGTCTATTGATTGTTGCAATGTGAATTCTGTTTTAGACAAGAGTGTTAATATTTTTGGAGAAATTGAAGAAAGATTCTAGAAATTTGAAGGATTGATTCTAGAGGTTCAACAATTTAAGTTTTGATATCTAGAATCACTCCAGCTTATAAATGCTTATTTGAGTATCTAGATTAGAATTCTGAATAGAATTTAAATTGGCTATTGTCTGTATAAATTTTCTATCTGAATGAGAATGTACAGAGTGATTCATAATTGTTATCATGTCCATTTGAAAGAACTTCATACATTGAAATAATTAAAAAAATTTCATATGAATATACATACATATCAAATATTTTATTTACAGAAAAAATTAAAGAAAATATTACATCTAATAGGTATCTCAATTCAATAGATTTTTTTGATACGTCCAAAATTATTGTGCATTCAACACAAGCGAATAAAAACTAAATTATACATGAATCACCTTGTATGATCAATTCGTTTTTGAATAATTAAAAATGAAAAATACGAATATTCAAATCTCCAAATAATATTAATTTATTATTATCATAAACCAATATTTATTTTTTTTTAAAAAAGAATTCTATCAATATTTTTCAACTCGAAAATGAACAAAAATTAAAAAATCATTAATAGACATTAAAATTGACAATCAATAATAAAAATTATTAGAAACAATAACGATCTCCATACATTAAGATTCGAGCAACAATCAGTGATAAATAAAAGTACGATATATTATTTTCGATCGACGAGGTTGAAAGGCGTCGCTACTTTTATCTGTTCTTTCCACAACGCTGGTAAACAAAAGGTGAACGGGGGATCTATTACGTTCTTCCAATGATAATTGGTTTTTCCGCTAAATATTTATCTCTCGAGTTATTTTTAGAAATGAAGAGAGGGAGGGAAAAGCGAATCCTTTCAGCGTCGATTGATCGACTCGCCTCGACTCGCGTGTAATTATAGGTCGTACACGTGTCCTGTACGTGGTAAAGGGCCGGGTGAACATTCGTGAAAGCGAGCTGACGTATTTACGGCTACGCGATCGACGCGAGCAAAGGCAACTTTCGCGACGATAATGGATGCGAGTTGTGCGAGCGGAACACGTTATATCGATTCGTAAGTACAATAAGACAAAAGTGCAGATTCGTCGAAGAGGGCGATCAGATAACGATTTGTTCCCGCGGCGACGCCCACCGTGTATTAATGAATCGCATAAACGAGATCGATATACGTGGGATGGGGAAACGTAGAAAATTGCGTGTAAAAGTTTGAAATTGGTTGACGAAAAACCGATCCAATATCCGAATGAAGAATCTGTTCACGTTTATAAATGTTAAATGTTAAAAATTTAGAAAAAAATATTTAAATATTTGCGACGAATGAAACTGAAATTCTGACCGTGTTTCCCATGGTTGCAGCGATTTCGGCCATACCTAAAATAGTCTGCGAAACGATCCACGCCCTGGAGCTACACGATGAGACACCCTCGTGGAAGATCATGGACAATAAAGGACGAGTCACGGTGGTGCTACACTGGGATCAGCGTTCATCCACGTCTCAGGCCCAGCAACAGCAGAAAGGTCAAGACGTGCAGACCTCCAAGTATTCGCCGACTAAGAAAACCGATCTGAGTCAGCGGCCACCACTGGTCATCCAGACAAGCCTGGACAAGCTCAACTACGCGGGGAAGCTGGGACATCTGGCGGCCGAGGTCGGCCCCAGCCGTTACACCAGCCCCCACATCACTGTGATAAATCATGACGACATGGTACGAGTTCCCGATTAACCTTCTCTTTTCTTCCGCTTTTTCTTTCTCTATTTCTCGAGTCTTTTTTTCGCTCTCTACCACCGAGTGTCGCGAGGTTTCCGAAATGGGTTAACCGGAATTCGATTTCAATCGTATCCATCTCACGTTCCCTGGACATCCATGGACACATAGATGAGCAAAATTTGATAATTGAAATTAATAAGGGAAAAGTCTTGAAGGAATGCGGATCTGATTGGTCAACGTGGAAGGAAACATCTTCACACGTGTTCTTTGTTTCTAGTATAATATTATTCTAGTCACGTATATTAACTGACAAAGAGGAGCAATAAAGTCTAAACTCAATGCAGTAGACATAGAATCCAAAGTATTCTAAGGTATAATGTAAAAATTTGTTTATTTCTCATAATATGTGTAAGTTAAATTGTATCAATAATTTAATAGTTAAGATAATAATTGTATGTATACGAATAACTTAGATTTACTATAGTTGTATTAATATTATATCAAAATTAATAGTTTCAAAAATATTTCATGCTTCTTAGATGATTAGCCTAACGTAACTTCATAAATGAAAATAATTTTTACGATTTTGAATATTTCAAATTATAGCTCTTCTATTACTATGTAGCGCGTGGTGTCAGGTTTGTCAACAAAGCGTCTAAAGTGGGGATAAACGATCCTCGCGAAGAACTTCCTCTCTTGCCCCTCTGCCGTCCCGCGAGCCTTTTTTTCACCAAAACAGTACTGTTGCTTATCTCCTCTTTAAACGCTTTGTTGACAAACCTGACACCACACGTTACTATAATAACAAAAGAGCTACTTAGAAACAAAAATGCGTGTAAAAATAATATTCCTTCCACTGTTCCTTCTTTCCATCAGTGAACAGTGAACTTTATTCGAAATTTTTGACCACTTACCTTTTCAAACGAATAAAAAAATCCCAGCTGAAAGGAGCCCTTTCGGAAACCTCGAATGCTTTCGATCGGAGAGCGAAACTTAACCAAAAAAAAAAAAAAAAAAAGAAAAAAAAGAAAATCTACGTAAAGTCGATAGCATACACACGCAGTAGCGTAGCCCTCGAGAATATCCTCGAATCCTTCGATCCAGACAAACCATTAAAACTCGCCGTGGTAACGACAGCAGCAGCAGCCGCAGCTGCAGCCCCAGCCCCAGCCCCACGGGATCCCGGGCCGCCTGGTGAAGCAGGGAACCAACTCGTTCGACAGCACCACCATTCATATCCACACGCCCGAGTGTTCGAACCACATCCACCAGCCTGTGACGAGGAACGGGAGCCCCGTGAACGGAGCGGACGGCGGCGCGGTCGGGGAATGCGACTTCCATTGCTGCGCCCTCCACGAGGAGGGGCGTAGGATCGCTGTTCACAAGTCTGTGGCCACGTCGCCTATCCAGGACGCCCAACACCAGCAGTATCAACAGCAGCAGCAGCAGCAGCCTCCTCCTCATCATCATCCACCCCAGCAGCAGCAGACGCAGACCCAGACGCCATCCCCCCAGCCCCCCTCCTCCCTGTCGGACGGGACGAGGCGAACGGGGCTGAGCAAAGGGCACGTGAGATTCTGCGACACGGCCGACGAGGAGTCGAGCTCCCGGCTGGCGGGCAACTCGGCAACGGCGAGCTTTCATCTCCATCATCATCACAATCATCACCAGGAGCACGACAGCTCCGAGTCCGAGACCGAGAACACGATCATGGAGGACGAGATCGTCACCTCGGAGAAATTTTTACTGCTCATCGACCAGCTCACCGTAGACCAGAAGCACTTAAGCATCAAGGACATAGGGATCATCTTGGAGCGGCTCAGCTCGAAGATACTGGACGTGGAGCGGCTCGACAGGGAGAGCGAGAGCGAGGAGTGTTACAACTGGACGATCAAGGCTATCATTAGGGGAGACGTGTTGAGGGAGCTCGGGGTTATTTACAACGGGAATTACTACGCGATCTCGGAACACCCCGGATACAAGGAGGAGTCCGAGGAGAATAACGAGGATAACGAGGAGGAGGAGGAGGATAGACTTTAATATGATGCTGTTTTACTAGATAGATAGATAGTTAGATAGATAGATAGATAGTTAGTTAGATAGATAGATAGATAGATAGATTATACACCTATTAATGGTTATTATTAATAATAAGTATATATCGAGCTGCGGGGAGGGGGCTTAAAAAGATGAAGATTCGAAGAGAGATTTGAAGAAGGATTTTTGGAAGGATTGAGGAAAAGAGAGAGAGAGAGAGAGAGAGAGAAAGAGAGCAAATATTTAAGAGTCGAATTTGTTATAATTGTGTATGGATTTCCGAATGGAGGGGAGGTCGGAGGAGGATTGGAGGATAAACGAACGGCGAAACGGTGATTTTTTTTCAAAATGTTTTCATAATAAAACAAAGGAATGCGTCATAATAAAAGAAACCAAAAAAAAAATAATAATAATAAAAATAAAAATAATAATAATAATAATAATAATAAAATAAATAAATAAATAAATCATACGATACCTTATTAAACTTAGTTCTAAAGACGGTTGTTGAAATATGTACTTATTAAATAGTATGTATACTTGTAGGAAACATTTTTGGGATTACGGACATTGATTCCGTAACCGTCCACAACACTGCCCTATCTAAAAAAAAAAAAAATAAAAAAAATAAAAAACAGAAAGAAAAGAAAAAGGAGATGAAAGAAGGAGAAACGAGAAAAGAATGAAGCAACAGAGATAGATAGAAGTACTTACGTTTCACGACGTTTCCGTTCGTCGACGAATAATGAAGTGAAGAAAGGAAAAAGAGAAAAAAAAAAAAAATGGTGGAAAAATATTTTCGTTCCTGATCGATCGTGGGGAACGTGTTCTAGTTTATTAAGAAAAGAAAAAAGGAATGAGAACGATCGAGTGAAGAGAGATACATCGATGCATCTCGATTTATCTTTTATCGTTCGTATCGGGGATAATTTTGGATTCCAGTTACACCAAAGGATCGCTTTGGTTTTCCTTCTGTCGTCAGAGCGCGAAGGATCTCTGAAAAAAAAATACGAAAGTCGAGTCGTAATAGAGCCGTTATTAGGGTGTGTTTGGTTCCACACTTTGGTGGGTAGAAGGGTGAATTCGAGATGAAAAATTTTGTTCCTTGTCAGTCTGTAAGAAACGAATTAAATCAACTGCCCGACTCTCGCTATACGTATATAAAAACGAAACACGATACTTATTACACTCTACTCACATGCATATACACACACACACACACATACACACATCGCACACAACACATACATGTTCAATACGTGACACACAACACTCGTATAGATACAGAGAGGTAAAGAGTAAGAGAGGTAGGGACGAAGGGAAGAAGGGAAGAGGAGGAAAATAGATGCACGAGATAAGAGATGGAGGACCTCGTTCAGGATTCATCGTTAGCGGGTTTTGCGCTACCGATATAAGTGATACCGATACATAAGAGTATTAATCGCGCCGATATATATATGTATACAGGATATCCGGCGTGCTCCGTGAAAACTTTGCAATTTTAATATATTTCTATTGTAAGTATATTTGACACTGCGAACGGAGAGACACGACGAAAATTTATTCGATAAAAAAAAAAAAGGAAAAAAAAAAAACGTATTGTAGCGATATTACGTCATTGCAAGAAAAAAATCACACTTTATACATAACGTATATATACACTATATATATATATATACATATGAATATATACATAAATGATTGCTCCGTAAAAAAAAAAGAGGACTTGGTGCTCGAGAGATAAGAACCAACTGGGTAAAACGGCGCGTATAGTGCGTTATATTAAGAAGAAAAACGGTTCAGTTCGTTTGATTTCCAGGGAGTATATATGATCTCACCTCGTTTTGTCCTAGATTTTCTCGCATGTTTCGTTTCTCTTCTATACGGGAGGGATACGTTTCGATACGGGGAGGAATTGGACGAACGAGGAAGACGAAAAAAAAAATGCGATGAGAATGAATGCGAAAGAGAAATAGGGAAGGGTGAACTAGTGTGTGATTACATTTGAGAGTAAAAAAAGGAAAATTACAAGAGTTATTTTTCATGGATAGACGTTGCATGAAAAAAGTGAAAATTACCTTCACTTTTAACGCAATGTCCATTGTTAAAAAATAATTCTTGAGCGTCTAATTTTTAGGACGCTGAACACTTTTTTTTTTTTTTTTTTTTAGAAGGTAAAATTCTGGAGAGTTACTCATTTTGGGAGAAGAGAACACTGCGATGAAAGCGATTATCCGACAGTGATTTTCATTCTCGAGTAGTGGTAGTGTCCATTGGTAACTTTCGAGAGCAACTCTCGAGAGTTTTAAATTCAAATGCATTTGCACACGGAGAGAAATTGAGAGAGTGCCCATGCGCATGTGTTGAGAACCATACGAAGTATGGTTGTGAGTGAGTGAACGAGTGAGATGAAAGAGAGAGAGAGAGAGAGAGAGAGAGAGAGAGAGAGAGAGAGAGAGAGAGAGTGAAAGAAAAAGGGGAAAGATGAAGAGAGATGAGGTAAAACGGAGCGCGTCTTTTGTTGCGCGAAATGTCACTTCTCTTCTCGCGCCGACGAATGTTCTTTTTTTTTTTTTTTTTTTTCTTTTTCTTTTTTTCGGACCGATTTAATGGAACAGAGAGTGTTACACATGCTTTTACGAATTTAATAACGCTAGACGACTTCCGTATCTTCCGACGGACGTTTTCCACCCGATGTTGAGAACCTTGTTTTCAGGTTTTTTCGTAGTGCCACTTTAAAATATTGAAATTAAAATAAACTGAATGAATTGTTGAAAAAGGATTAACAAACAAAAGGAAAGAATAAACGAACGAAAAAAAAGAAATAAAAAAAGGAGAGTGAGAAGAAATAAAACGAATAATAAAATAACAAATAAGAAAAAAAGAAAGGAATAAAAAAGGAAGAAATAAAAAGAGGGTCGTTATAAGTTTGTTTTTGGTACACGCAGACACTGTATACACAAAACGAAGAAAAAAAGATGATACGGTCTCGAGCTATTCTCATTTACAATATTACTTATAGCCTCCTCCCTTAGATCCTTTTTTTGCGCGCTATATGCGAGGCGTATACGTATACTTTTTCGTCGAATCGAACGCGTGGCAAAGCGCGAAAAACGCTTTGCAAAGCATTCTTCCTGCGCGAGAGACCGATTCCTCGAAGCGACTTTTTCCTCCCCCTCTCCTTCCTTTTTCTCCTCTCTTTTTTATTCGACGCATTTCGCTTCGAGAGAAAATTCGAAAAAGGATCGATCGAAAAAAGTAGCAATGTAAAGGAGAAATGTGTGATATCGAAGACCGTATGTGTGTGTGTGAGAGAGAGAGAAAGAGAAAGAGAAAGAAAGCATCGAGACATAGTCGAATATAAGTCACCTCGCATTACGATTACCTCTGTATAACTGCAAAGCCGCATTACGGAGAAAACTACGAAAAAAAAAAAAAAAACTAGCGAGAAGAGAGAAAGAGAGTATATGCGTGTGTGTACGTATGTGAGAGAAAACTAACGATTCGACGATTAGCTCTTATACCTTCGTCATTTGTCTCTTGCCGCGAGTAGCGTGTTTAGAATCTTATCGATTATTATTATTATTATACATCGATCGATCGAGGTAAGATTTGCACGAGGAGCGAAGAAGAAAGAGAAAGAAAGAAAGATAAAAAAAAAAAAAAACGAAAAGAAAATATAAAAAAGACGAAAAAAAAAAAATATGTTGAGAACGAGTCTTCCCTCGCGCGAGACAAATCGCCGAGCGAGTTAGCGAATTTTCATTGACGCGCATCGACGCGCGCATAATTACACGCGAGATGTGTGAAGAGGAGGAGGATATAAATCACAGATATTTGCAATCCTACTATGCACTGTCAAAATGAAACATAAATTAAATGTAGACGCGAGTTAAGGTTTTTTAAGCATTACAAACGATGTACTGACTTTTTTAATGACGTTTTATCACGTTACGGAGTACTATACATATATATATGTATATATATACATATACATACATACATACGGGGAAAAAATATAAACAAGTACATATATATATATATGTACTTATATATATATATATATATACGAATATAAATAAATGAATAAATAAATAAATAAATGAAATAAATGAATATACACACAAAAAAGAATACACACGTACACGTGCATACATAATTAGCATACAAATGTCAGCGAGCGAGTGTCTGATGAATGATGCGTCAATAAACAAGAATGTAAATAATAAAGAACCATATATATACAATACATCGTTCACGAAAAACCTATTATATTCGTTGAATTGCGTGTAACGAACTCGTTCCCAAAGATTTCGTGTCGTAGAATGAAACGTTATTGCAATCTAAGACTGATCGTAGTCGTAGATTCGTTAAAGACGAACGTGGAAACACGATTCGTAGTTCCGCGACCACTTTCAGAAAGTTCACTCGCCGTAATAAAAGGTGAGAAACCGCTCACACCCTTTCTCCCAGGGATTAAACCGGGGCTCCCATCGATTCATCGCCTCGGGAGAAAATTTTACGCTCGTGGAATACGATAAAGAATGAGAATTATCGCTCCAAATTTGCTATCCTTTCTTCGAACATGCATCGTTAGAATGCGGGATCGTCCCTTGATTCGAAAGGAAAACTTCGACGCGGATCGGAAATATTCGGGCGAGATCGGATGAGATACTCATGTAAGCTCAGAATTTTGAAGATTTCACTTCGGAACAATTCGGCAATAATCGGACGCAATCGTCTAGATGCTCTCTAATGACCGAGTTTCGAACCGATTGTGGCCGATTATTGCCGAATAGATCCGAACGTATCGAGCTTATACGACAATATCGAGATCTTATCCGATCTCACCCGAATTTGCACGATTCCCCCCGAACTCACAATCTCAAGATCCAGATCGATGATTAGAATAAGAAAACCACGAGGTAAAATCAAAATTGTGATTGTTCGATACCTACTAGGTAATAAAAACTCCCTACGATTTTTTCACTTATCAATTTGGCGTTAAAAAAACCTTTGTTTTTTTCGTCATAAGTAAAAAAAAAAAAAAAAAAGAAAAAGAAAAAAAGAAACACAGAAATTGTACTTACCTAAACGTAACTGAATAAACAAATGGAATAAAAGAAAGAGAGCATTAGGACGCACTAGCCTGCGGGATATTTTTTTTTTAATGCTCTTCGCTCTTGCTTTTTCTTGCTCTCCAAGCATTTTCATTTCTCTTTATTATCGTATCATTCACGCCGTGCTGTTTAATGTACAACCTGTTACGCCCGTTTTCATATATCGTTTTCGATATCCTGTAAATTATAATTTCCAATCTCTTCTCCTTGTAACGAAGGTCACGATCGAAAATCCAAACTGTTATATCTCGATGTTCGATCCCTGGCGCGATTGAAATGTTTTCATTAAACTGAAAGCCGTGAGCCCGATAGCGGAGAATAGAGAACCCTTAACGCCTCTATCTGGTTGGAAGAAGATTGATATTCGGTTTGCATCGTTCGTTCTTATCTTTTCGAGGAGGAAAATTCTCTCCTCGGCTTTTAATCGCGGCGGATGAAGAAAAAGAGATTAAGACGGTTTCTTTTAGGAACGCTACCAAGGCGAGCTTCACTGGCCAGTGAAATATCTGGTGAACGATTTAAAGTTATTAGTAAAAAAGCTCGCGTACTTATCTTACCTTCTTCGTGATCAATCCGCGAAAGAAAGAAAGAAAGGAAAAAAAGATATTTTTATCTCGCTTTCTTAACGGTTATAAATACAAAGAAAGCAAAAGGTATAATCTCGCAACAGGCGACGAGGGTATTGATCCACGGTGTTCCACGGCAACGTGATTCCTCTTTCTTCGACCACGTCATTTTCTTCATCTCCGGATTATGGAGACTTTGTGTTTCCTTCTTCCTTTCTTTCCATTTTTAAAGACCATTCGATTTTTAACGATACAATACGGTTTCTTTTTCACGATTATCGCTGCCAAATTTTCACGGGAAAAAAGCCAGATAAAAAAGCAAGATATTGCTGCGCTTGTTAAAAAATACACAGAATGCATGGAACAATTAAAAATATTTTCAGTTTATTATATCTTGTGAAAAAAAGAAAAAAATTCTCAGAAAAAAATTACTTATTAAGAAAAGAATAATTTCTCTTTCAAAGTTTTTAAAATTTTCGAAAATATGTATTAATTTTTTTTATATTTTCGTAAGAAAAATCATCAAATTTCGGAATTATAAGTTTTAAAAATAAATCTCTCAAAATTCAAAAAATAGATTATATATATAAATAGTATTCTCTTAGAAAGAAATGAATTGAAATCGTAGAGTGCAATATTCTCGAAGAGCGACATAGCAAGAATCATTTTCAGAAACACGCATGCATGGAAATTTCAAAGATATTTAAAAAAATTGAAACACCAAATCATTAAAAAAAAAAAAAAAAAAAACACACCTATTCCTCTAAAAAAAAAAATATGAGGAATGGAAATTCTCGTTATTACAATGACGAGCTAAAAAAAAAACCTCTAAGAAAGATATTCGCCATTTTCGTTAATTTATCGAGTTATAAGGAAAGATGGAAGGGCGGGAAGGGATGAAGGGGAAGGATGGATCGTGAAACGATGCCCGGAAATTCTTCGAGGAACCGCAATTTTTCTCCGAATAAATAGCTGTCCTCTGACACGGGCAAAGTATTCGGGAT